TTTTGTGTGGTCGCGTGGCCTGCAGAAAATCCCGCTCCTAGCACCGCACTAACAGTGCGTGCCAAGAAAGAATTTTTACAGGAGAGAGTTGTGTGTGGTGATAGCTTCATCACTTTTGATAGGTACAGGGTAGGTGTGTACACGGCAGTACAGAAGACAGCGATTTGCATTGACGAAACACTTGTTATGATTACAAACTTCGCTGTAGTGACTCATCTACTATCGAACACAAGCCAAGGCTTAATGGTGGCAACCTCTGCCAGGACCTGATACAGTCACAAGATGCAGCGCGGAACCAAGGCTTGTTTGTTCTGACATTGACTACACTATCACACAAGCATCCCTCTATCGAAAGATGCTGATGCCCAAAAGCCTAGCTAATAAAGATCCACGTTAATCCTCGCAGAAGGGAGATACTTTTCGAGTCTCTCCCTTCGTCACTCCTCTTACACTATCCTCAGAGACCTCAACCCCTTTTTCTTTTCCGTTTGCGACCAAAATGCACCACCAACGCCATGCCGCTGAAATCCAGAGACAACTGCCTCGCCGCGGGTTCGAAATGCTTGCATGATCAAGCCATGCGAGAAGAAAAAAATCGCAACATCTCCTATGCGCATCCAACACCATATGTCTGCCCACAATAACTGATAATGCCCCTAATAGTGTATGTTGTGTCAGATAGACAACGATGCATATCGATAGCCTAGGCACTAAGCTTTCCTAAATACTGTCATATCGAGCTCTTCACTACTTCTTGCGGGCTCTGCCCTTGCCTCTGCCCTTTCGAGGGCTGTTCTTCCCAGCAGAACGCTATTCCGAGGAAGATAGAGGCACAGGGGGGACTACAGGGGTCTCCTTCTTGCCCGAGGGAGTCTTCTTGCCATCCTTATCCTTGCGCTTTTTGGCTCGTTTCTCCTTACCCTGGCTAGGTGAGGCAGGAGGCTGTGATGCAGGAGCGCGCGCAGGAGAGGACCTGGGAGGGGAGGAGTGGGGGATAGAGGGTATGGGTACCACGCTCTGTCGGGGAGCGGGCACTGAAGCCTCCTTGACTTTCTTTTGCTTCTTGCTGCTTGTAACAGGCGTGGAAGCAGACTTGGGAGTAGGGGTTCCTGCTGTAGGGATTGCGGGAGGCAAGACAGGGGTGTACTTCTTTGCGGCTGCAGACGCTGGCTCAGAGCCCAGATCGGGGCTTCCAGCTCGGTTTGTCTTTTGCTTCTTGGACTTGCTCGCTGCAAGCTTAGTCTCCTCTTGAAGTTGCTCGGCTACGGCTACGGCATCATCTTCAGAGGTTGCTAGCTTTCGCTTGTTCTTGCGCGTATCGGGAGTTGGCGCTTCGGTTGTTCGAGAGCTGGGGGGCTCGGGGATGCTCTGTCCCTTCTTCTGCTTCTTGTCAGAAGTCTCCCTTGACTTCCGCTTCTTTTCCTTCTTGGCAGCTTTGGCCGACAGAACGGGAGCATCGCCCATCTCGACGTCCTCATCATCACCGATGCTTCCCATGGGCTCGTTGACTCCGATGGGTTGGTATCGAGCCTTTAGGCCAGTGGGCTGAGCACGAGGGGCTGGCTTGGGAACAGGGGCGACAGAGTTAGTGGAGCCAAGTTGTGTGATCTTCTTGACCTGCATAACTTGGTCGATCTGCTTGGTGGCTGATTTATAAATTAGTGGAGAATATTAAAAACGTGACGGCTGGGAGCTTACCGGGCTGGTATTGAGGGCGATCAGAGGGAATCATGATTTGGATATTTCCCTTGGGGGCAATACTTTCAAAGGAGACACCATAGTCCTCGCCATTGTGAGAAAACAACTTATCGGTAGACTGAGACTGGTTCATGGGGATCTCAAGATTCTGAACAACTGAGATGGGCACATTGGAAGGAACTGTGAAGTACCAAAATTGCTTGCCCTCTAGGTTCGCCTTGTTGCAGATCTCAGCAACATCGCGGCCGTTTGTGCCATCATCGCCCTTGCGAAGGACAAAGTCAGGAGCAATGAAGTTGGGGAGGGCGAGCTGTCCTTCGCGATCCTCAATGTGCATGGATTCATCAACCATCTCATCATCAGAATCCTCCTCCTCGCTTGAAGAACTGCCTGGCTCGGGAGCGACAGGCTTAGCGGCAGGTTTCGCAGCAGGTTTAGCATCCTGTTCTTCATCCTCGCTTTCACTGTCGCTATCCTCGCTTGAGCTGTCTGGTGTAGTAGCAGCTTTGCCATTCAGAGCAGGCTTAGCCTTGGCATCGGCTTCATCCTCGCTTTCGTCCTCACTGGAAGAGTCGCTGGTGGAGGCAGAATCGTCTTGCTTTTTGGTGGATGGTTTGGGTGCCTTCTTGTCTTCCTCATCGCTATCACTGTCGCTCACTGACTCCGAAGAGCTCGAGGTGCTCTCAGACGCCTTTGTAGGACTTGTGCCGTTAGTCTTTGCTTTGGTCTTTTCGTCGTCAGACTCGTCTTCGCTGCTTGAATCGCTAGAAGGTTGAGGCTTAGACTTGGCAGGAGCAGTCTTTTTCACAGAAGTGCTCTTTTTGGACGCGTTGCGCTCGGCATCGCTATCGGCGATTTCATCATCTTTGCTACGGCGGCGTGGAGTGGCAGAAGCAGGTTTGGTGGTACTGATGAGTTTAGAGATAAAATCGGCCGGGCCATCGCTGCTACTATCGCTGTCGCTTCCGCTTCCTGACTCATCATCGTCATCCCCATCGTTGTTGGCGAAAATGTTGTTTGGGTCGCTCGACTCTTTCTTGATAGTTGCAGCACGGTTGCCGGGGCGCCGGTTGAACTGCGCTTCAGCCGATAGGCCCTTCTTTGTGTTCTCTATGTGCTTATTGAGGGAGTGCACTTTGTAGGGTTCCTTAGGCGCCATCTTGGGCGGACTTTTCTATGAATCTTTTCGGTGGTGAGGGTGCAATTGGCGGGACGAGGTTGATCGAGGTGAAGATGAAGTTGCTGGAAAATAAAATTTGGGAGATGCCGCGCTAGTGGGGCAATCCACTAAGTTATCCTGGGTTAACTGTACGGACGCGCCTCTGTCGTGTAGATATCCGGTGATAGGTGACGCGAAGTCAATGAGACTGGGCAAAAAAGGCTTAGGTTTTACGCACTTCAAGTGAAATAGCGAGGAAATCCTAGATATCAATAAGCCGTTGGTACTATCCCTTTTCGTAGGTACCATTAAAAACCGTCAAGTGAATAGAGACACAGGTAACGTGAAATGATTTTTTCTTATCGATAAGACCATACGCACCTTCAAAACGTTTTAGCCTTTGAGCATGGAGCATGCGACGTTTCATCAACTCTATGACAGTTGAATAATGACTCTCCAGAGATTTATTGTTCTTCCTGTTTATCTTGCCTGGACTGATCATATTCAACTGTCACCATTAAATATTACCATATCCATCCTCAGCCATGTCCTCTCACAAAAAACGAAGAATTGACGGTGTAGATGCGACAAAGCGTGAGTGTAACACTCTTTGCCCGAGTCTTTCGATCGTGCTAACTCACATAATAAAGCGATGAGTGCTATTGCTGCTCTTGCTGCTCGACGGAGAGAGGCTGCAGCCTCTTCAACGTCCGCGCAACAATCCTCACAATGCGATGAGAAACCACCCACCAGCAACGTCAACTATTTCAGTCCGCTCCAAAAGGGAACTAGTCAAGTTGGAACTCCGTCAACTCCTAAGAAGAGTGCAGTAAAGACTCCTCGGTCACAGCGTGGAACTGAGTCGCCTGCCGCACATCCCAAGAGCCATGAAATGGCAAGGTATATGACCCGGCATCACCAGTTTCGACATCGCTCATCAACTTCTCAGTCGGCCACCAGGATCTATAACTCCTGAACCCGGAACAGTTCAAAGGGCCATACCGTATTCATCATTTCGATTATCCAATCAAAACTACCGAGTTAAGAAGGGAGGTGTGGTAGAACTACGACTTTCTAGCAAAGAGGTAAACTTCACGCCTCGCTCTTACAAGTCTCTTGACTGACTTAGCAGCGATTTCCAATCATTGGAAGTTTTGGTATTAGAGTGATTCAAGGTGAGGTAGTGTTGGCTGGTGCTACTCTCTATCCTGCTGAAACTATTGAATGGGTTCATGCCCCTCACTGCCATGCAGTCCCCGTGTTACGGACGAAGGAACAGACGAGACTGGAGCTGCATCCGGATAAAAATGCTCAAGGTCTGCGCCAGTTGGGCCGTTTATCACCTCTATTCAGGAAAATGTGGAACGAACCACCCGAGGGAGACTCAACCAAGTCAAATAAAGAAGCAACCTTTCAGATTGTAAGTTTTCTTACCTGCTATGAAAGCATTTACTAATGCTTTCCCAGATTCAAACGCCGGAAGATTCCCCTAAGAAATGCATCATCCAAGAGCTAGATTCACTAGCTGCGTGGAACAGGAAGCTTTCACCCCTGGTGACGACCAGTCGAGAGAAGCCGTCTCTTTCAACGTTGATATGCGGCCCAAAATCGGCCGGAAAGTCTACTTTTTCGCGGTTGTTTCTGAACCGGCTTTTGACAGATCGATCTCATGGACAGACCCTGCGAGGTGTTGTGGTCATGGACCTAGATCCAGGCCAACCGGAATATGCGCCAGCGGGGACTTTGTCTCTCGTGTTTGTGACGAAGCCGAATCTAGGGACACCATTCACACACCCGGGCATCAGAGACGCTGCTTCGAACGTCGTTCGTTGCCATTCAATGGCCTCCGTAACTCCAGCATCGGACCCCGATCTCTACCTGGCATGTGCGGTCGATCTATTTGATACGTACAACAAAAGTTTTGCGGGTGTTCCTCTCATCATCAATACACCAGGGTGGATTCTTGGAACTGGGCTCGATCTTCTCTGTGCCCTGGTCAGGAAGATGAAGCCTGAAGAAGTGTTATATATGTCTGAAGATGGCCCCTCTGAGACAGTCGATGCGTTGCGGGCTGCAACAGAAACCACGTTTACAGAATTACCCTCCCAGCAGTCCGAATTTACATCAAGAACCGCTGCTCATCTGAGAGCGATGCAGACCATGTCCTACTTTCACTTACAAGAACTAGCTTTGACGACCACGAAGCAAACTGATATCACCCAAAGGTTGAAGTGGAACCCATCGCCACTTTCTTTCAGATCACCCTTACTTGTACGATATTCCTCCAAGAAGGGGATCCTCGGCTTGGTATCTTACGATTATCAATGTCCTCCGGAGTTGTTGGCTGATACAGTGAACGGACTGGTTCTGGCGGCAGTTGAGATAGAGGATGTGAAAGCATTTTCCGGATTCACCCAAGACCAGGTCTCTGCCGATACATCATCGAAGCTCACGAAGCTTGACACAGCAAGTAAAGATGAGGCTCTCCAGATAGTATCGACAAGCCCGGAAGGCATTCCTTTCATCCCCAACTATAATGACACTGCTTTGGACCCCCGGTATTCTCGAACCATTGGGCTGGTTCTCCTGCGAGGTATCGACACGAAATCACACACCCTGCAGCTTACCACACCAATTCCAGCGGAAGAGTTCAAACACATCAAATCCCAAGGCAGAGACATTGTCCTGCTTCACGGCAAGTTTGATACCCCAAGTTGGGCCTATACCGAAGATCTCTATGAAAGAGCTGGGGCTGACGAGGGGAACGACACAATACTTGAAGTTACGGATGAGGATACAGACGATGATAGGTCAGAGGCCGAACCAGAAGACGTTGACAGAGTTAGCGATTTGACAGAAGTTCCCTGGGTGGAGGTGCTGAAAGGGAGCCAGAGGCGGCCAGTTGGCTCAAGAGTTTGGAGGGTCCGTAGGGATCTAGGCCGCAACAATGCTTGAGACTAGTCCACAAGAGTACTGTGAGTCAACAGATCGGCGATGATGGTGGCTGCGGCCATGTGCTACCACTCGCTAGCGACCGTTGACCACCTGAAGGTGGGGTTTCGAACCGGCACTTGAAAGCAATTGCCATGTGGCGAGCCCGGCATTGAAGAAATAATGACGATTTGGCTGAGCTGAGACTTACTGACAAGATTGGTCAGCCTCAACTAGGTATCTAATAGCTCACACAAACGCTTGGACGTTCGTAGGCGGAAGGAAGTGAAGCAGCTCTAAGTCGGTGAGGCATGGATGCCAAAGAAGAACAAGTCGCGATGATAAGTTGGAATTCATTGCAGCCCTTGGACCAGATTAGCCAACTCCTTGACATGTCAGCTCCCGGCCCTAGACATTGGCCTGATGTAACATCGTTCCCACTTTTGGCTTGTTTCGAGAGCATGATACGGAGTAGATGACATGTCATAAACAACCTCGTGGTCAGGTTGACGCCATGCACAATTCGTTACTCTTGGTAAATGGAACAGTACCAATGGTTACACAGGGAATACGGGCACTAGCTGAAGTCAGGCCATTTTTGGCAGATTCTAGACCGAGTTTATCAAGTTCTCCGAAGAACAGAATTGAAGCCAATCCCGGAAGCTGGCAATAATCACCCTGCTCGTGGAAGTCGAGATGAGTGATCTCACATGACATCCTTAGCATCGCCCAGCATCAATTGGTCGTGAACTTGGGCATACAAAAGCTGAAGCCATGATTTCGTTCTACCAACTCGTTGTGCGTTCATATGAGAGCCTAGATATGGGCCAACTTGCATAAGTTTGCTCTTCTGCCCCGCTTGTGACCGACCCGATAAATCTCGGGAATCGAGGGGTTCTTTCGGGTGCATTGATTGGCATTTCAGGAACTTTTCAAAGGATTGAGGGTTATGATATATGCGAATATGGTGGTGTTTATCATCAGACTGGAAGTTCTTATATTGTAACGAATCCGCTCCTTCCCTTTTTACTCTGATCCATAGTCTTCTCTAAGTTCTTCTACTTTACTAAGGGAGTGGCACCTTCTCTTATCTTGGCCTTACACCTACCTGCCTTGAAGTTTTTAGCTCAACATCAATTCGCGCCTGCCATGGGAAGGTTCAACTTGCATGAGATACCTCAGGTTGTCTCTCAACACCTTATACCCGTGTTTCCTCCGTTTTGGTCCTGTTCGCTTCTCTCTCTTCTTCGCTCAACAAATATACGATAATAGCAGCGCAATCTCCACCAAGAAGTTACTCACACTCCGAGCTATCCACTGCCTTTTCAGAAAGCGGCCATCTGCATACGCGTGAGCTATACCGAGTGTCAAAATGGAACCTCCGCGCGTCCTTGCTTTTAACTTTGATGCCCAAACCCCATGCTTGCAACCAGAGACAGAGTCCTCTGTCCTCTTACTGGACCTCAGATACGACATCTCGAGACAATGGCGCTGACTAGGGATGCAGCAACCCAGTGAGCTGCATCGAGGAAATGAGCCAGCAGATCTGGCCCCTGTTTTGCACAGTAGGGTTTGACCTTGAACGCACAATTCCACGAACTTTCCCGGGGGGTCGGAACTAGTCTCCGAAGCGATTACATTACAGTAGCTCGTTCACGGATGCGCCATTACACAGAGTCATCGGTAGACGAAGTAAAGAGCCCTTACACACGGCGGATGAGACTTCTTCTTTCGGATGTCGTTCGATTTTGCTCCATGTTATGCGAGTCTGAGGCGCAGGATCTGCCTTTAACGCATGTAAGCGTGCCGGCAAGTTCGGACGAAGCATGAAAAAAGCATGAAAAACTCGTGGTGGAAGCTTGGGGCAATCGTTTGCTCGGGGCCAAAAGCAACCACCGCCATACGTTGACCTCACCGCCTTGCAACTCCTCACGCGCCACATGCGATAGTATGACTTTAGATCAGTTCACTTGTAACGGCGCGCCGTTGTAACTTTAGCTCGAGTTTCGGAGTACCCTTGTTGCATGGAAACTCTCCACCACCATGACGTTCGAGCGTTGGGCTTCAAGGTTGTCAAATTTGACGACATGGACTAATAGTGGAGAACACCGTTGAGCCCATCTCGTGGGATCGGAGGATAGTCAGTGATGTGCATAATGGGTTGGAGGGTCGAAAGAACACTCTGGTTCAAGTAAGTTGGTTATGAAGACGTCAACATACTCCGTAAAAATATGCAACTCATATCTCCAGATACGCCAGTCTGAGCATGTTCGACTCTGCCACTGTTGCTTGTATGGCACATATTTAAGGTTCTCTCAGCCTGAGTTTCACTTTTAATCGGCGACCGGCAAGGTGTTCCTTTCACCACATGGGTGGGTAGCATTCACCGCCCGCTCAAGCTGCACCAGCACCAACGTACATATGGGTGAGCAACAACGACAAAACGAAACAGAATTTCGTGAAGCCCAAGCCTGCCCAAGCAGACAAGGATTGCACACACATACCCTGTCAAGGAATCTCATTTGCCATGATCGGGAGCGGCTCGATATGAAAACAGGCCTTGTGGTTGGTGACTGGAACGCTCAGACCGGGCGACGCCGGTCTGCGTAGCGGGGGCAGCGTCAACGAAACTAGGAGAGGGGTTCAGTACAGGATTTCGAGAAGTCAAATGGAGAGACAACAGTGGATTTGTGCAACAAGACCATACACAGAATGGAGCTGAAAACGATGGATGACGCATGAATGGTTGGTGTGGGTGAAGCAAGGGCTCTTGGGGCTTTGCTTTTTGATCCTTGACACAGGACAATCTCCTGATGCCAGTGGAGGACGACATGTCCAGAATTGATGATCTGTCGACAAGACACACAGCAAGTTGAGATTGCCATGTCCAGTGGATGCTCAACAACGCAATATTTGCTTCTTTTAGTCAAGTCAAGAAGTCGGATCGCAACGAAGCAACATTGACCAATGGGAAGAACCAAATGGCTTTACGAACTATGGTTTCATGATGGCGATAGCCATTTGTTATCAGGCGATTGAGCCACAAAGAATCTAGGAGATGCATGTTGGAATGGGGCATCACAATCACTAAGCATATTCCATCTGACAGTCTCACTTGATCGCCTCGCTTATCTCCGCTGGTCCCGTTAGGACCCATCGCTTCGAATAACCGCCGACGACTCGCAAAACCCTCGGCACGAAATTAGCAATGGAACCGAAGTGATGCATCTCTTCTCTTCTCGTGTGCCACCTAGCCACCCACCCATTCATTGATCTGCAGGCGGGCAAATGCATCTTATTAACAACGTTCAAGCAGCATTTTCTCCACTCCGAACCCATCAACATGATTAATCGCCTTTTCTATTGCCGGTGTTATGGTCGTTTCTATTCATCTTGTTTTGATGCGTAGCGCTCCTGTCATCTTGGTTCTTTTTACAAAGCACTCTGCGTTCATACCCAAAAGTAACAATAACATCACACATATCCCGTGCTTCCACATTTACTCCTAGTCGACAAACTCATATCCATGCGGAACATCGATCCTTAGTTTGGCGGCTCTATAATCCATCGTCATGGGAGAGGGGGCTCAGCGAAGAGAAGTCAGCTATCGATCTGCATGCACAGAATGTGCACGCCGCAAGCAAAGGGTAACAAACCCCAAACTTGGCCATTTACAGAACGGCCGGCAAGTTGCTATGCATTCATTCTGAAAATGCTAAACATATACCCAGTGCAACCGTGAGTGGCCATGCAGCGGATGTCAGAAACGCAAGGTGGCCGACAAATGTCGTTTCAAGGACACCAACCAGCCAACTGCTGACAGGGTTGCCTTGGATAGGCAGAGAAAGAATCGTACCAACAACAAAACCGGCCCGGACTCAGGAGACGAAGTCGACATTGAAGGCACAAGAAGTGATGATATTGACACTTTGGGTTATATGCCTTCCAATCTTATTTTTGATCTGACGTCGGAACAAGAGGTTCGTAACATTTTCTCAATTGTTTGACTTAATCTTAACATTATACTTGCTTTCAGACCACCAGGAGTGCATCACAAGAATTCGTGAAGGATTTTAGAAGTTTTCCACAACTTGAAAGAGCTCTAAGAGTCATTCCCGCCAGGCCTTTTACCGGTATGTACTGTCAGCAAAGCAACTGAGAACATCTAGCCAACTGCGATATCAGACACACTTGTCCAGAACTTCCTCAGCAATGTCAACTACCACTACTACATCGTCTATCCGCCATCTTTCATAGAGCAATATCAACTGTGGTGGACAGCACGAACCGAGAACCGCCCTCTTAGCGTCCAATGGACTTGCCTTCTCCTAACAATTTGCGCATGTGCCTCGCAGTATACCGATGTCGAATTGCAGCGGAATCTTGAGGTTGGCCTTGGTTTTTCGATCCAGCGTATAAGTGAGCGGTTTCATGAAGCTGCCCGAGAGCTGGGAAGTGCTATATCCCTTGGTCATGGCCACATTATCAATGTCCAGCAACTCCTGCATTCTTGTTACTGGTTCAAGGCCGAAGCCCGTTTTATCGAATGTTGGCATGTTTTGAACGCTGCTATTCGAGAGGCCCAAGAACTATGTACGCTTGTGTATAGTTGACAACTTGACAATACAGCTGACTTTATCGCAGCCATCCATCAAGAAGGCAAGGCAGGCCCCATCTCAGAATTTGACTTGGAAGTAAGACGGAGAATCTGGTGCATTCTGGACACTTGGGACTGGTATGTGATCTTCTGCACGGCTCAATAGATTTTGACTTATCTTCCAAAAGGCAAATTTCGACACTGTTGGGTAGGCCTATGATTATCGACCGAGCCGACTGCGATGTCAGTCTTCCAAGTCTCGGCTTGGAAGGATGCCAATACTCGCCTCTATTACACATGAAGATGCAATGCAGCGTAATACGACAACTTTCTAGAAGATTCGGCTCGCCGAAAAACGTTATGACCCATGCAGATGTTCAGGAATACCAGAGCATCATTGAGACATGGATCGCAACCTTTCCACCTCCCTTCAACGTCCAGCATCCGGACAGGTCTTCAGACGCTTCGTGTCCCTGGATGGTCCTTCACAGACATATACTGCATACTGTGGCATTTTCAATGCTTCTACAGCCTATCCGTGGTTTCCTTACAAGACCCTTTGCTATAGGATCCTTAGAGGCAGAGCTGCAAATACGCAGCGACGGCATCAACTATTGTCTAGAGCTGATGGCGTCTTTGCGTAGATTTTTCAAATATGTCTACCCCCGAGATGCGAAGTTCCATTTTGTTCTCTTTTGTATTTTCGACATCTCGACAGTCTTATGCTCAGCAGTTCTTCATGATGAGCATCATACACTTCCTCGACGAGACGATGTTTACAAAGCCATCGATGAGGCGCATGCCATGTTGCAGGAGCTTAGGATGGTGACTAAATCAGCCAAGGCATCATACGGGATCCTCACTCGAATCGTTCAGCGTCTCCCACGGCCAACAACAACGCATAACATGGCTAGCAAAAGCCCTGTGCCCTCGAGACCCCAAGCTCCCCCAGAAGCTGCTGCATCGCCACAAACACTATCGCCAGGCAGCGTATCACATTCCCAAAATTCCCCTCCGGCGGCAACTTTCTCACCTTCCCCCGTTATTATCCCTACACCAGGGGCAGTGTCTCCAGTATACACCTTGGGAGGTGTTCCTGTCGTGGGTGGTGACTTTGCGCCTCCCATTGCATACGCTGCTACTGCACCATGTTCTGACTGGCAGCCACAATTGTACATGCAGAACCCAACAGGTTTCGTGCCCGCCGACCTGCCCCCTGAGGGGGGCCCTGTGTTCGCGAACATCTCGGACGAAGAGCTGGGAGAATTGGCCAATTTATGGAATTACCAGTCTCTTGACTTCAGTTTCATGAGCACATAGTTATGCGTCCGGTGTGCCTATAGCATGGGTACAAGGCCATATCTGGCTGAAATCTTGACGGACATGGAGTGATAAACCAGGCAACACTGGAGATTGCTCAGTGCAATCCTCAAGATGATAGGACTACGTGGTGTTTATGATAGCTATGGGATATTCGACGCACCAATGAGTTGCTCCTCTTTGGGATCATAAGATTTATCAGCGCCAGGACGCTTTGATATATGACAGCCTGCCAAAGCGTGTCGCTCATGGTATAGCCAATATTCGCAGTGAGCAACACGCTTGGACTATGATGTGTAGCGTGACGAAATGAGTAGGACTTACGGATTTACGAAATCATGAAAGAAATTCATTGCTATAGACTGGCAAAAACATGTGAAAGTTTACGAGAGGGCTGCTCAAACGAGAACTGGGGTGATTCATATGACAGGTTCGACTTTGCAAGCAGAGATTGTAAAACCACGAAGTGGTTGTCGAGATGTACCGCTCTAGGTTCGGTTTTGGTCATCTCGCAAGATCAGATCACGCATTTGGGGAAGTTGTGATGAGATGATGACAACATACGCCGTGAACTTATGCTGCTTCAAGAGATGAATAATTGAAGCTTCACAGAACTCCAGAGGATAGGAACACCCATGCCCACCACATTATGTTTTTTATTTATAATCAATGCCTGTCTACCCCTGTGTAATGCAATATACCTTAGTGCTCTGAACGATACCAATCTATAATAGCACAATAAACCCAGCATGTCGTAAACTGTACATTTCGATCCAAGAAGGAGATGTTCCAAAATAACAAATAACCTATGAGTCATGCAGTCCATTCTCCCGTGCTCCCTTGAGATGGTACTTTTGATAAAACACCCAAAATGAGGCCAACTGGTTTGAGTGACCAAAGCCAATGAATGGAGCTTCACAGGGCTACTCCTTGTAGTGGAGGAGAGCCTTGATGATCTGCCAGGAGATAATTGGCCACAGAGTATGCCTCAGGAAGCCCGAGGATTATGCTCTCGATTGATGATGCATTGTTATCCATGGGTTTTGGGGCCTAAGGTCAAGAAAACTCTAGCCTGATTGGCTGTTTGATGACTGAGCCGCCCACAAATAGATAAAGCCCAACCCCCTCTCGGTGCCATGCTTTGTCCCTCATCATTCTCAGTTTTCTCATCTCTTCCACCAGGAAACGTGCATCGTCAATCGTCTTGAGTCTTTCATCGTAAGGCTTGCGCAACCAGGACTTATGCTGTCTCGACCTGTGCCGCCCGCGGCATGAGAGCTCTGGGTCTATGCTGACGTATGCTCATGAGATTCATGCCGACTGGAACACAAGGGAACGATTCACGCAATGAGAAGAATAAGCAGTCCCTCGTACCACATATTGCGATCCCAAAATGGTATCAGGTTGCTCGGGGCATGGTTTCCTCCTTCATTCCACGCCCATGCACTCCAATACCGCTGCTTCTTGGAGAAGCGGTCTGCAATGCTCTAAAACGCCAGCGAATAACCGAGAAAACACCAACAGCAATACAGAATTTGAAACACTCCAAACACAATACACACGATAGGAAAAGAAACAGAGAAACCAAACATGTAAGAGCGATGCACGAAAGCTGAAAACAGGGCCTCTTTCCCGTCGCACAGAAGGCAAAATGGGTATAATATTTACAAACAGAAAAATGGTAGGGTATCTGCTTCAACCTCCTGGCGGCTTCTGATCAACAGAACCACTTCGACCAACTTGCATACGCAGTGATGCCACCTTGGAGGTTTCTATATCACATCAACATTGCTGGTCCCGTGGGCCCAGCTTCATATGTGTCTCGACAGTAGTCTCCCAGAGTTGGTTCAGGTCAACGACTTGGAGATTGTGGCAACTGCGGACAAGGAGATGCCGTCTATCAGAAAAACGAGAAAGCAAGTTAAGGAAAGAAAAGTCAACGAAACGCACAAACCTACCTTATTGAGTAATGTTGAGGGAAGGTATTGGGACGAACCAACGCGGCTAGTCTGGAGCCCCTACTGTTAGCTTATGACCAAGGTCTAGGGACAGGAACTGGCGACGAACCTTTGAACAATCCCTTGAACTGTGCACCGATACCAGCCAAGTTTGAGTTTGACGGACCGGTAACGACAGAATGCATCGGCTGGTACCTGGCCATGCCGGCTTCCAGGCTCGCAATGCTATGTTCTCGAGGTTGACCGCCAGCAACGTGACCATTGTTGGCACCACGAGACTGGATGCGGGCAAAGACGTTATTGTGAGAGTACGGAGCCACACGGTTCTGCGACAGTTCTGGAGCTTCTTGGCGAGCTTCTACCGCAACGCTACCATCGTCATCTATTAGCTGCATTCTCCATCACCTAATACCGAGAACGTCCAACACGTGCTTCCTCAGCGGGCAACGCAACGCAACGCAACGTACCCGACGGCCGAACCCTGATGAGGGGCGACGGAAGACATGACTGTTGAAGGGCGATATTGAACGGGCGTTATAGATCGAAGGTAGGAAGACCGAAATTGCTATGGATGAAGTGATTGCGGCGGCGGCGATGTCGGTGGTGATGATAGTGACGGACGGAAGCGAACGACGACGCCAACGAATACGGCCCTTGCCAACAACCGATGAGAATAATAATATAAGAATGGATACGAAGGAAGGGTCCGAGCAGCATGAGCTAGAAGTGATGCAGCGCAGAAGACGAGCAGCGGTGTTCAACGCACAGAGGAGAGCGAGGAGGAAGTGGGTGAAAGCTGGAGGAGATAGGTAGAGACGGCGGCGGGTGGGGGAGGGACAGCACCCGCAAGAGCTCGATGGGCAAACAGCTACGGCGTAAGGCAAGGTAGCTAGGGAGAGCAAGAATGTGAGGTAAGGTAATGCGTAGAAGGTAAGTGAGTGATGGTGATGAAGTCAAAGTAAAGAGTTGTAAGGGGGTGAACAAGTTTATATCTAAGGTACTCGATAGAGTTGGGATGAAAGGATGGGATGGATGTATCAAGCATGAGCATAGAGAAGAAAAAAAAAATAAGGTACTAGGTAGTATGACGGTGAATCAAGTAACAGTAAAAAAGTTGCGACAACGATCCATCCAATGTGTGAGCGAGTGAGCAGCGGAGCACGGAGAGTGAGAGGGGACGGGGAGCGGGGAGGAGAACCAGATACGCCCAGGGGGTGAATTATGATGGCATCCATCCACTGCAAAGCCAAGCCAACCCAACTCACCCCAGCAGAGCACAGCACAGCACGCACAGAGCAAAAGAGGAGCAGCAGGCCCAGGAGCATCCGTAAAAAAGGAAGATGCAAGACGACTGACGTGCAAACCGGCGCCTTGGCCTTAGCCCAGCCCAGCTCAGCGAGCGCCGGCCTTCCATTTGCACCGCCCGGCCCTCCGACGACTCTGGGCTTCCGCTGTGACTTGGACTCACTTCTCTCCCCTCCCCTCAACGTCCCTGGCTCTAGGTGGCCCAGTCAAGCCCAGCCCAGCACAGCACAAGGGTTTCCTGTTCCTTGAGGCATATTCGCTTTTGGTCCTGCCACAGGCGATCCAGACCCTTGAAGTCGTGTATCCTGCACAGAAGAAACCCATGGCATGCCGTCGATGGATGTCATTGTTGTCGACGAGAGACAGCAGCAGACAAGCGGCAGACACAGAGTTAGCTTGACTACCCCGCAGACTTACCTGCACCCCTCTCTCGCCTCATCCCCTCGAATTCTTCATTCTCATTTTGGTCGAGTCCCCCGAAGAAAAGGCAACGAAACCCTGAACCGTGAGAGAGAGAGCGAGACAAAAGAAAAAGAGGGTACCATGATAAGGATAGATGGATCTCTGATGATCTCTCGCTTCCCCACGACGTGGACCTCAAGTCCAAACGTCTCATCTAGCCTTGGTGTAGCACCAAAATTAGTAGTCCCGTCCGAAGCATCAATAGCCAATGGATGCACCAGTGATTGCTATTGGGCTGGGTTTGATCACTTGTCGAACCATCACTGACGTATGACGGTGACGATAGCAGTACTGGGGCTTCTTCAAAGACTGACGCGCGCGCGCGCCCCAGATTTTTTTCCGCATTCATTGAGTCGAATGAGAAGAATAAAGATTACCTGGCTAACTCACAAAGGATTGATTACCGCAACTTGAACAAGGGGCCGGTTTTGTACTCTGGCACTAAAAGGACTGCAAATGGGTCCGCGGAAAGGCAATGATCATCCGCCCGTCGTGATGCAGCATCAATTAAAATATCAGTGTACCCTTAAAAAAAACCCAACGTCTGTCCGTCTACAATTGTTGGTGGACGTGGATGGAGGGCGTTGACAAGACGTGTGGCGTGCCGGACCGCTCGCCAGCACCAGCACCAAGTCCATCTGCAGCAAGCACCCCGAGCTCAATGACAGGATGACCATTCATTGCTTTTCAGGGTTGCCTTTTAGGTTCCGGGTACCCATGCGGACGGTTCGCCCAGATCGACCGGGCGGGCTTGTCTGGAGAAACGGTCCACTAAGCAGCACCAGCACAAGATCTTATTAGCTACACACCCTTGTTAAGGCTGAGCGAGTTTGACTCGAGTGGTTCAGATCCAATTTCAGATGGCAGCTCAGTTGCGGAGAAATACCACCGCGCCGAAGATATGTCCCCGAGATATCACAAAGACACAGCTCTGAGACTCTCGGACAATCAAGTCATGGCCGTCACTCTATGCTTTACGTCAAGCTTTCCCCCCCTAAACAGAGGTTGAAAAAGATCTCAGCGAGATGGCGAGGCCCGCTTTCCAAGCTAACTAGGAGATTGAACCAATGCCAGGAATAGCTACACAGCTTACCCGGCCTTGCCTCAGTCGCGTAAGTTCCAAATCAATCAATGAAACGCGACTGACAAATTAGCCAGCCATTTGATCGTCAATCAGGCTTTGACTTGTTCCGCGGTTCGGTGGCATGTGATGGAGAGAGACAAAAAGCAAGAAGAAGAAAAATAAAAAACACAACGGACCCGGGGGTTCTAATTATGGTTCCGCCTTGGTTGTTCATTCTCGAAACCCGAATTTCAGTTTCGCTTTTTGTTCAATGAATGCCATGGTGGCTCGGCAGGGGAGGGGTGTGAGCAAGGAAACGAAACAAAGGGATTACGGATGGAAGATGAAATGAATGAAGCACCACAACGAACCTGACTTCACTCGACTCACAATCGGGGGGGCTCCCGGCTGTACCATCCATGGTATGTATCCATCACCTAGCACCTCTTATACCCGCGAACGAAGCACCCTAGGCATGGGATTCGGCGCTTGGTGGGTGGACGCACTGCAACTCGTCTGCTCGGCCCAGGATCTTGGGCCAGGGGTTACTACATACTTCCATACGTGCGTGCCGCAAAATGCTGGCCAGCGCAACATACCCTCCTCCCTGACACCTCAATATGATTCCCGAGTTCGCGAGAAATTATGCTTGATTGCACTTCCTTCTTTGCTCAACACGAGCAAGAAGCACCCCGAGATTACTGCACCCACCACCCCCCTTTGATCCCATACCCCTTGAACAAGCTGGCGAGCATCGCTGGATGCATGTCAATGGGGGAGCCATCCGTTGTCAATTGCTCTGTGGGGCACCTTGGCGTCGCCCCGTACAGCGTCGGGCAATGCCAAGGTTTAAGGAATGCAATGCGACTTTGTCGTCTGTCTTGAAGTGGATTAATGACGCACCGCCTCATAACTGTGGCGCCATAGGACAACCCAGCCACACCACTTCAAGCTTCTTGGAATCACAACTTCTTCTTACGATAAGGCCCCGCCACGGACTTACCGGCCTTGAAATTGAGCTCTTCCGTGCAGTACAGGCTGTCATCGAAGTGAATCTAGTGATGTGAGTGGACGAAGAGCGAGCTCATGCGGACTGCGTGCGGTGTCAGCGAGCACAAAGTTATCAGCATCTGTGTTCAAGCCCCGATGGGATCTTGAGTTTTGAGTTGAGACAGGGATCAAAGAAGGGAATCTCTTGGGCGCGCGGGGAGGACATCCTAGATCCCAGACCCACCAGGGGCGCTTTACAACTGCTGGGCTGGCAATGTTCCTCGGATCCAGGCGGCCGTTGTCTTTTTCGTTCCCCTGCTTTTGAGATCTTGCCTGTGTGGGTGTGAATCAAGAGAGTGCAGGGTTTGCAGGAGGCTGTCAAATTAAAATTTGAGAGGTGTGTGGCAGAATATTTGTCTCATCGACTCGATTGCAGGGCAGTCTCGTGCATGGCATGCGCACCATGGACAAGACAAGCTCAAGTCCATACTTCTTTCTAGAAGCAAACCCCAGGTGCTGGCGCCTGTACAAGTCTAGCGCCAGAATGTTGAGAAGATGCTGGGGTGCACCCCATGACACCCCTGCTCAATGACATGGGAGTGAGTATTGGGGTTTGCCGACCGACTGTGATTATGTCGATCCCGTGCTTCTTCCTACAGGTGCCGGCTATGATCATACTCAACAGCCAGGAAGCGCATACAGTATTCTTGAACTAATTTATGGAGTCTTCCGTCAACGTGCGTCACACTGGGGGCGCAATGAAGCGTTCTTCTTGCACTTCTTCTTCCTATCTCGTGTGAGATTTGAGTCGAGCCCGTCTTTGCGAGCCTCGTTTTGGAAAACGTCACTTTGCACAAGGCACATCATTGCCTTCAGGCCCATCATATATGGCTCGTAGGTGCCAAATAACGGCTAAATTAGACGGTAAACAAGTGCTTTGGTCGCCTATCTACCGTGATACAAAGACAAGGAAGAGCCTCTTGCTCCCACATTGTCACTCCTGGGATGAAAGTTTGGCGGTGTGCACGCACCCTGGTAATGTTCTGCTTTGTTATGCCGATCCTTTGGCAGGAGACAAAACGCAGGTACTGTCCCTCTAGGGGTGAATCTCGCCTATGCTAGCCATGGTCCATGTGTCCATGTCACAGAACATTCGGAATGATTTGCAGCTACAGAATCAGGGCCAGGAAGGGGGGCCTAAATGCCGGGGGGCTCAAGGCCCTGGTCATTGTTTGCTCTCCTTGACGAAGTGGTGGCTGCCAGGGAAAGGAAAGCAACAGGCCGGGGGTGCAAGTGTGAGCTTCTGAAGATTGAAAGCCGAACTTGATATGGGATACCATTTGAGCCCTCCGAGCAGCCGAGTTAGAGCGTTTCAACACGATGCAAATGAGGTCGGGGTGCAGCTGCATGTCTAACAATCGATTTCGACCATCCTAATAAAGTGGGTGGCCGATTTGAGTAACAGCTAGCTTATATGGCGCTGGCGCTCATGATAGCTACCGCTTCAATGCCAAGGAGATTTTTTTTATCAACGTCCAGGCTATGGAACTGAGTCCCTCCCTTTCCTAGCTTCTGCCTTCCAGGAGCATGGTCCAGCCGAATTTGCGCGTTGAAGTTTTGAGGCCCCCCAAGCCATCTTAACCAGGGTTGGCGCTTTGACAATAGCGCCCCCACTATCTGAAGGTAACCAAAGAGTTTCGTTTGGCCCTTCAACTTACACTCAAAACAGCCGATTCGAGGGCATAATGTCCCGGCATGGGGGCATTCTGCCCTCGACGACGGTGTAACCCTGCAGACCATGTCGCGGTATTCGGCTACCTTGCCCTGAGCTGCAAATGATCCCCGGACATCATCAGGACTAACAAGCAGCCGGATCGCGGATGGAAAAACGAGCCTTGGCAATACTCACAGACAGCGCCACATCAAGGAAACCCATGGCCAGTCCCAGTCAACAGGTTTTGGTTGCCGTATGCCGCACGGGTCAAGCAACATCGCGTCTGACTGTGTCTGCTGTCACGGAAATAGTGTTCCATCTGCCGACTAGATCTTGGATGAATGTAGTTGGCAGCTAGGAATTAGACTCAATGAGGGATTGAAGATCGTTTCATTTAGGTTTCTATGATTATGATTTGCATATGTGTTTCTAAACTATTAAATCTAAGAAGCAAATACTTTGAGGATAATACGGCCATTCTCATGGTAGTCCATCTTCAGTGATAGTGATGATGATGTGGTTTGTGACGGTAGGACCACAGCTTGCTAACATCGTGCCAAATACAGGGAGTGCGAACGTGGCAGTTGGGCGTTAGCCTACTCCATAGCAGCCATGTTAGTGAGAAGAGAGAAGAGAGAATAACCATAATGAGACTCGTCTCAGGGTGGATATTACATAAACTCGAGTCTTTAGCCGCAACAACTTTCCTAGCGACTCGTACCGAGGCCAGAGTCTAGGGGAATTATTAGTGTTAGTTAGAACCGTCATAGCCAAAACGGGCCCGAGTGCCTACCGATAAACTGGGCCCCGATTCCCTCAATGCCGGTGGAGGAGTGGGGCCGCGGGGGGTTCGTGAAACGGCCCAAACTCGCACTGTCCTGCATGTGGCTTCCGGGCACATACAGTGGGTCCTGAAGACGTGCGGAAACAGGCACGTACAGGTCGTTCACGAATCTCATCATCATGATTTGCTTATCTTCGGCTGTGGCTTGACTGGAAGACAGTCTGTGCATGAGATGTCAACCGTATTCGCGTTGAAAGGAAGAGTCATCGTACCCATTGATCTTGTTTGTTCGGTTCTCGGATTGAACAGATCCTTGTGTGGCCTTTGTTGAAGAGTTTGCCATTGTCGCTTGTCAAGTGAGCACAAGCTCAAGTTCGAGTTCAAGTATCTCGTGTGTGCTTGAGAAAATGGTGGAAGGCTATGAAATAGTTCATAGAGCCGTGTAAGACAGGTTGATCGAGGATGCGTAGCTCTCTGAGGAACCGGTGTGCGGTCATGAGTTGCTGTTAAAGTGACTATTGACTGGCTACTAAACTCTGAAGTTGAGAAGCGCACATCAGACTTTTATAACGGGAGTGCCCTTGGGCTCATTTTGGAGCCAGGGAGCATCTCACTTGGTTGACTTACACATAGCGACGCGCCAATTCAGGTATGGCTCACGTCATGCAGCCTCAGATACACGGGTGGCTTCTCATCCAGAGTGTGAGGGTGGGTGGTTGAGGCTCCGAGTTTGAGGACCTAGCCAGTAGCTTGTCATCTTTGAGGTAGGCCTGCACGATTACAACTGTATCCGACACGGGGAAATGGAGGCCAGCATTAAATATAGTACAATTTATTAGGGGTTAAATCCGTATGGTGGTTGTTGTTGTTGTGTAGTTCCAAGGCCTGCATCTGTCCAGTTGCGGAACATTGGCGCAATCATTTGAGCGCAGGGAGATTTTCTCGGAGCAGTTGATCATTTGCTCAGTTTCATCTTGTCTCTGGCTCATAAAGCAGCAGTAGTAGATGTCCAAATTTGAGGCCCCCGGTAACGTAACTGGATAAATCGTGGACTGCCTGGACTACTACTCTTTGCAGTGAGCTGCTAAACAGAAAACGACGGTGTTTCCTCACCTGCTGTGTGTAGTAAAACAGGCGAGAGCCGAGCTGCTGGGTTCAAGGTTACGTCAACTGCCCTAACTTTTGAGGTGTGAACCTGGTATGACAACTGTTAGACAGGGGTGGCTGGGCCTGAGACTTGGAGTTTGGAGATAGCGGGGGAGCTGGGGAGCTGGGGAGTTTGTGTGAGGCACTTCCCAACAGATAGCTCGTGCGACAACGCAAACTTGGAGAAGACACATGCAAGTGCAGTGTGACTGGGCATTCTTTTCCGATTGGGTCTTTCGAAAGGGGAATATGTGCGGACGATGGGTGTTTAGGCCAATTGGCCATTCTACTGAAGGTGTGGTGCTGATCAGCAAGGGGGATCAATGGCTTCGAGAAGGTCTTGAACCGGTCAAGTACCACACTCGTGCGTCTGCATTTTCGTACAATTCACTGCTATTACATGGCACCCTCATATTGCAAATGCAAATGCAATATCCAAAATGTTGGTGGACTCAGGATCTGATCCTAGAGGGCCACTGGAACCAGCCACAGGCACGGCCTGACGCCGAGCGATGCCATAGCCAATCCCAGAGGCACACTGTCGTGATCTTGTGAGAGCGTCGCAGGGATCGTCGCACAGAGAAGGCTTCCAGAAGACGACACGTAACTTAACAGGAAACCTTCTAGAAGGCCGCGAATAAGGACGATCAGCGCTTGCGAGAGTGATGCTTACATGCGGACAAGGGACCCCTACCGAGCTGAATAGCTACTCACCTTCACCTGACCCTCAAGTTTACCACCTCCAGTTCTGAAGTCCCTATGGAGATAACGCAAGAGACCTGTTTACGGCCGCAGTGAGTGCGCACTGATCAGTCTCGCAGCATCTATGTTATGCGCATGGACATTTGCCCCTCGATGACTCTACCATCAACATTCGCACTTTGGCAGGGCGATGCTCGGCTCTTATCACATTGACGACTTGCAGTGATTCCCAGCCTTGGGTACGCGTACAGTGTCTGTTTATCGTTGCACGGGCTGCTTGTCGCATACGTTGGTCGCTGCTTTATGCTATCGGCCAAGACGTGATGTGATTGATGACGCAGTGAATGAATGTGCGTGCTACATTCTAGAATGTATCAAGGAAGCCTTCCCGCGTGCCACAGCATCCATCCATCCACCACACCAGCTTCCTGGCCTCGTTTCCCTGCGAATGTAAGAGCCTCCAATCTGCCTTGTCATACTTCAAAGAGCACAGAAAAAGCCCTATGATCGCCAATCAGGAACCAATAACGGAATTGAGATGTGTCAAGCAAATTATGCGCCTGTGACAATATCTCTCCAAGGTTACAATCTTTGGGGTCGTGTAGGCTGCAGCCCGCAGTTCAACTGCATATAGCTACCATCTTTCTTTACGTACTAGCACACCGTGATGGCAACTCTGACCTATTAAGTTCTAAGCAGATAAGAACTCAACCCCATGTTTCAGCTCCATATGCGGTAGTAAGCCACTCAACACCTCTACGTGACATCCTTCTTATCTCCAACTCGGACATTTTGTGTCTCAGCCTCCAACAAGTGGCTAACGGCCCCGACGGAGTTGTATGCGAATATTTGGCAGGCCCGGTCTTTGTGTGTGCTACCAGTCAATATGCACCGTTGAGGCTATCGTGGCTTGGGAGAGGCCGCCCAGGTCGAGTTAATGTAAAGACACGGCTGCGCGTGACCCGCATGCACGACCTCAAGTTGTGATTGCAAACTTTGTAGTGTTTTTGACAGAATTACACGAGGCGTCGTGATTCCACCAACTGCGCGTTGTTTGTGTCGGAACAACTGACCATGCAGTTCTATAAAGCCCAGTGCACATGGCATTCGGGCCACTGATGCGTTTTGCCTCAATCCCACCTTGATATGCATAAGAAAATGAACCACTAGCACTCTGTAATTGGCCCATAGTAGAAGCAATTATTGGCTGATTGCCTTAAAGCTGAACCATGACGAGTTCATGCGACAGCCCGATCTTGTCTCGTACTCTAGACGAGGGGCGTCAATTGCCTAGATGCCGCACCATTGCTCAATCTAACTATATCATTATGAACAATATGTTCGCTAGACTCTGTAGCTTGTGTTGAAGTTGGTCAGTCGATAGATCGTCGGAGACGTCGATGGGAAGGCCGATCTGCGACTGGAGAAATGCCACAGACGAAGACATATGGACGGTGAGTTTTAAAATGAAGGAAGTTTAGTGATAATAGTTTACCTACATTTTGGTCACGCACTTAATTGATTGGAGACCAGAACTCGTCGTCAATGTGCGTCTCTTGGCTTCTGGGTGAACACTTCCATCCAACAACAGTGGATGAGCCGATGGGCTCGAGTCAATCAGTCGATCCAATATGTGACAGAGTAATATCAAATTCAGAAGAACCGCATGTGTTGGATTGGGCCTTGAGTGAATGAATCGCAAAACACCCAAGATAATTCGTAGTGGTTGTGAAACCTCCCTACCCTGTGTTTGCCCAGCCTCCTTTGACCAAGGATGATCAGTCCTTTTTGAAGATTTTTAGAAGCTATCTAAAACCTACATGAAGCATAAATAAATCCTCCACAATGTGAAGAAAGATAGGGGCACGGTAAATCGTCGTTCTTAGCCCTTTGAGCCCTTTGATAATTGACCTAGACTGAGCTGCAGAACACTATCAGCTGGTACCGCCAACGATAGAGCTACTACTGTCATCTCTTCTTTCTGGAACACGATGTCTTAGGGAGTCAGTGAGCCACGAAACTTGACTGATCTTGGTCTTCAGAGCCAACGTATCAAAGGTATGATACCAGATGACAAAATTGTCATAGTTGTGGCAATGAACTAGTTTCGCATTGCACAATCACGCAGATCTTGGAGTATCATTAGAATAACTGTACTTTAGAATTATCGGGATTCATATAAGCTATGTATCAGAAATCCTAAGAGTATTGGGTAAGATATCTCAAGGGTATAGTTTGATCATACAAGGCACACAAACTGAGCAATTTCAAACTACACATCGATAGCTATGACTGCAGTATGATAACTGTTCGAATTCATCCTCTTGTAAGCTACTTCTGCCTATAGAGCTGATTGGAAAACTGAAACTAGCTCCTATAAGCACTTTCATGAGAATGACTTCCGTTTTGATTGTTGCTTTTCTGTTTTCTTTGCAAGGGTTGCATTTTATGCTATGCTTTAAGCCACTCAAAATTTGGTATACTTAAATAGCTGATTCGAATAAAAGAAAAGAGCTATGACCTTCATCACGTTTCAGCTGGTTGTCACGATGGAGCCTACGACATAGATTTTCATGAGGGCTGACAGGTCCAAAGACTTCCTTTGTGGCTGGAATGTGCTTAAGGGGATTATGTTTTAGCTTCCTAGGTCTTTTTTAAGATGATATGAAGTAATTCGAAGTCCAATGGTGCGAAACCAGACTGAACTCCTCAGGTTTTCCTACGGAAAACCAATACATGTGTAGATAAATCAAACAAGAATTTCTTCCATCTTGAGATATAGTTCAAAAGGAGAAACGGGTATCATATCACTTTTTCAATTGCCTGTACTATTCTTGACACTGCCATGGCCAATTGGACTTTTTAGTCCATACATCAATAGTTCATAGGTTCTCTTTAAGGCCTTCTATATCATTGAGCAAATACTCTGTCATGGCTTATGACTCTCAAAAGTTCATTTACACAATACGCAGAAGGGACTGTAATTAAATGAACAGTATTTTAATAAAACACACAGGTTTGATAACCTTTGCCTTGCTCCCCATTCGAAATTTCTCTATATAAGTGTCTTAGTTCATACAATATCGCCCGTTATACTCAAACATATACCCGTGTTCTCAAATAAAATACGCCTATACTGTTTCAAGCTCTTATATTAGCTTCTATATTGTTTAACACCATCATAGTGCGTCTGTCGGAAAAAAATAGAGAGTCTCTGTATGCCTCTCAGATTTGCGGATGATCTGGATGTGCCGTCCGCATATGTCGATCGAAGTTGTCTTTCCGTGAGTACACATGGCCTGACATGGCCTTGCGGCATCCTTCTACCTTGCATTGGTAGCCTTCGCCTTTGCGATGTGTGCGCGTGTGCCTGATTAGGTCTTTCTGAGTAGCAAAAGACTTGTCACACCCCGAGGCGAGACATGAGAAGTACTTCATGTGGTACTTTTGGTGTTTTCTATGAGTTATTAGTTGTAGGCGTTGAGGTTGGGACTTGGTTAAACTTACGCGAGGTCAGACGGACGTCGGAATGTCTTGCCACAATGGCAAAGATTTGGCTCACCACTGCCATCGGCCGAGTTCATCCAGCCGTAGGAGTCATCTTGTAAGTTGGGGGGACTTGAAGTGGCCACTGAGGAAGAAGATGGTGGTGCGCCACTGTGTTCTTGAGACTGCCACATGTGTTGATGGTCTTCTGATTGCTGAGACTCATTGTAGTCCCCAGGTCTGTAGGAGTGGTTGCAGTTTGAGGCTGATTTGCTGGCATAGTAGCTACCAAAGGCATGGTAACGAGGATCAGATGTCGTTGGCTCGTTGTAGTAGCTTGAGGAGGACGAGCCAGCCCATCCGTGGTGGTAGCGGGAATCGGAGTCAGAGTCAGAGTGGCGAAGCTGATCCGCAGATAGTTGGCTGTGGTTGCGACTGTAAAATGCCATTTCGGAGAATAAGAATTGCTTGTGGATGGTAGTAGTGCTGTGTCGATCTGTTGCTCGGTATCCATAAGCGGGTAGACAAAGGCAATTAAATTCGCCTTCAATCTGCGTATGATCGGGTAGCCAGGTAGCTATGTAGCCCTGGCTAACATAGATTGGGCACGATTAAACATATCGTTCTACAGTCAATCGTACATCGAGTGTGTAAGCCTTCGCAGGGCTCTGGCTTCTATGGCTGCCAGCATAATGACCCGGTCTGCAGGGCAGCCGAGTGTAGGTACATACGCAGGGCCAACGCAGAAGTAGCGGCGGCGGCGGCATCAGTAGGAGCATCAGGACCCAGCGGGGCCTAGTGGACGGCCCGCTAGCTGATCTGCTTATGATAAACGAGAGATCCTGTAGGGCAAGAGGCCAACATGAGGCTTTTGAGAGGCCCACGTCAGAGGGGGTCAGAAGTTGGGAGGGGCGGGCTAAGCTGCAAGTGATGCCCAACACAATACGACACGTCGACCACGAGAGCCAATTGCAGCGAAACGCTCCAAACCCAACCGTCACTTGCGGCCAATGATAAAAGGTAAGCCTCGCTTCTTCTGGAACTCGATACGGGAGCCCGCTTGCATCGACACCGAGTTTCAGCTTAGGCAGGATTGGTCTCATGAGCACGATTCACTGGGCATCGACAGTGACAAGTGTGGGTTGGGAGATGCCCTATATGCATCTATCGTAGCCCGGCATCATCATCATAACAGAACAGGTCCACGTAGACTTGTTTTGTTACTCGGTAACATTGGGTGCCAGTTCCCAATGTACAACGGTCATCGCTACCACGCAGCTCTCCATAGATTCGACATGATGGGACCCTTGATATCAGGCATTGCAAAACCACGAGACAATTACATAGTATGCCCTGACCATGCATTATAGGCTAAAGTGATGTGTTATCTGTCGATCATCTCTGAACGATCCTTAGTGACGTATGTTTCGGCATATGATACTCGGCAATTATGACAACGCTACGTTGATTTGGAGATGAAACCCTTGGAATAACAAGCAGTTGGCAATGACAGTCTACAGGAATGACACAGCAGTCATCGTCCTGAGACGGGCACTACCAAGCCGGTATCTTCTCTTATACCAATCACAGACTCTAAAAGAACTCGAGATGGACAAATTTCAAACGAAATCCATGCAATATAACTTGTCAAGATGATGAAACAGAGTGCTGATGTCAACAATGCTTTTATTATAGATCTAGTCAATTTTGAATACCATAGATAGAAAGGGTATGGATTCAAGGTACTTGACCTAAACACTTTCATCGATTAAAACTCGACTTAATAATTCACATCCAACCGTAGTCGAGACAGCAGTCTAATCTACCTGTTCACGCTATTCAAATCGACCATCAGTATGGAAGAGTGGAAGCCGTTAGCGTCAAGCTAACGAGCTATAGCAGAATATTATCTCGGTTCGGAAGCATGCAAGCAAGGGACGTCCCGATGTCAAATTTGTCCCAGGCCCAGTTTGCTTGTCCATGTCCAGCTAAGGCCCTGGTCTAAGTCTGTTGTCATTATCTCATTCGTAGCTGGAGCTTTAGGGCTATTTACTGTTGATTCCTCCTACGATCCTATATCCGTTTCCACGTCCCCCTTGATGACTTGGAAGTTAATTTACCGCGATCTTGACCACGCGGAAAGGTTCGACTGGCTCTACCGTGATCAGATGCTTTGGGGCAGTGCAGGCTTGGCCGTGGGTCAAGCTAATAGGCCAACGTCGTATGCACGCTGTCTTCCTGGATTGAGAGTGGACTGTCACGAGATAACTTGGGGATCTGAAGAGGAAATATAATGAGTTGCATCACGTAATGGAGGTTCTACAATTCTTTGGAATAGAGATAATAACAATGCCGTACAAAGACCACCTTGGAGTTGAGCCCACAGTATTAAAAACTACGTACATACTCCGCACAGTGATAGTACGGGATGACGTTGCCGTTGCCAAGGGTCTTGGGCGTCTTGGGGTCTTGGATTGTCCCTGGAGAGAGCACTGAGCGCACTACGTAAGGTACCGGCTTTGGCGGCGGGCAGGGCAGTTGTACAAACCCCACCGGAACGTCTATCTCTTCCATCTTCCATCCCTCTCCTCTCACTCTTTTCAAGGCGAGAGCTTTGCAAAGCTCTAGAACATTTCACCACCGGAACAGTGACAATCGCTAGTTATCGCTGTCGTCATAAACTTCGGCGAAGCCAACTACAACATGGCGGCTTTCCTGCGCGGCAAGCAGACGGGCATGCAGAATGACCTATCAGCGAGCATCAGACCTGAACTCTTCATGCCCGACGATCAGGCTCGCTATGGCATCAACTCTCAAATTAGGTATCGCTCCGTCTCGCCCAACATGTATCATGTATGCATGCCCCAAAATGATCCAGCTGACCATCCATTCTTTGTCACAGCTGCTACGCTTACGACCCAGTCCAATCCCTCCTAGCTATCGGAACTGGTGAAAGCAAGTTTGGCCCCGGTAAAGTCTACATCTTCGGTCAGCGACGTGTACACAAGATCCTCGAGCCTCCCCGACGCACATCCTTCCAGATCGTACAATTCTCCGCCAACCGCCTCGTTACCGTCGACGCGAAGAACGAGTTGGGAATATGGGACCTCGACACCGGCGAGCGCATCGCCGCTCTGGTCGTCGCTGGCCAGGTCGTTTCTCTGGTGACGGATCCCATGCTTGACTGGGCGTTTATCGGATTGTACAATGGAGACATCATGGCCTTTGATCTGGATAGAGGAAGCCTGGCCCGTTCCTTCAGACTTCCCAATTTCTGGAAAGAGAAGAACCCTGGTGCGACCACTCCGAACCTCATAACCATGTCTCTTCACCCCCGAGATGTAGGTAAGCTCCTCTTGGGATACACCCATGGCGCTGTTGTCTACTCGTTCAAACAAGCCAAACCTGTCAACTACTATGAGTATGTTGTTCCAGCAAGCGCTCCGGGAGGCAACGGTGCAGCTGTTGAGACGGTTCGAAAGCCTCGACTTACACATGCACTCTGGCACCCCTCTGGAACATTCATCCTGACAGCTCATGATGATGGAAGCTTGGTGTTCTGGGATCCAAAAGCCGAGAAGATTGTGATGGCGAGAACCCTGACCGACTTCAACGTCGACCAACCCTCGCCTGAGACTCCTACACCTGCTTTACCTGAGCCCATCACTAAGATCGCTTGGTGTTGCAAAGAGAATTGCGACGATAGTGGCCTTCTGATTGCAGGCGGACAACGCCCTGACGCATCGCCCAAGGGCTTGACATTCATTGACCTGGGCCAGACGCCGGTTTACGCGACCTCGACCTGGCAAATATTGGCTAATTACTGCAGGGGGAAACGCCAGAATGTCCTTCCTCTTCCTTCTGGTGCGCAAGCGATTAACTTCCTCCTCATTCCGCGATTTTCTCCTCACTTTGCTGGCGCTCAAGACCCGATCGCCGTCATGGTTCTCCTCTCGTCTGGTGAACTTATCACGCTGAGTTTCCCCTCTGGCTATCCGATCAGTCCTACCAACCAGCTCCATCCCTCCGTTTCTTTTGTTCATCCATTTGTGACAAAAGTCAATGTGTCACCTCTCGAACGTCCCCGGTGGCTCTCCATGTTCGAGAAGCGCAACCAAGGCGAGCCGCTGCTTAAAGGAGGAGCCGAGGCGTCGCGACCTCGGAAGAGATTTGAAGAGAGAACCATAATCCAAGCCGCTCATGCCGATAGTACAATCAGGATCTGGGACTCGGGCCATGCTGATGAAATTGAAAATGGAACCCAGCTTCAAGTCGATGTTGCTCGAGCACTGGACCGATACGATGATGTAGACATTACCTGTATGAATATGGCGACTAGCACCGGAGAATTCGTGGTAGGAACACGCACGGGAGAGGCCATCATTTATCGATGGGGTCAGAATCGCTTTTTCGGCAAAGATAAAGCTCTCCAGCTTGACCCCAATCCCAAAGGCCTCACGGACATTAGCTCGAGAGCAGAACCGGGTCTGAAAGAGGGCCTGCAGCCTCTCGTTCTCTACGAGATGATGATGGGCCCTATCACAGCTATACAGGTGTCCAATGTTGGATTCGTAGCCGTAGGCTCAGAACTGGGGTTCCTTACACTGATTGATCTTCGCGGACCTACTATCTTCTTCCAGGCACCCATGACGGATTTCGCTAAGCCAGATAAGCGATCTTCATTCCTGAAGAGTCACAGTTCTTCGCCGGGCCCCCAGAAAGAGTGGCCTGTTGTAATTGAGTTTGGTGTCATGACCTTGGACGAGGACAAGTACTCGAGCATTTGCTGTTTTGTGGGAACAAACCTAGGCAAAGTCATCACCTTTAAACTTCTGCCTGGCCAAGACGGCACATACTCTGCGTCGCTCGCAGGCGTTGTATCGTTCGATGGGAAGATCATTTCACTGAACCCCATCGAAGCTGATACGGGTAAGCCTGCCCATGCTACTGGACCGATCGTGGCAGGCCTCAGAGAAGGACGTCAGGTCAATGGCGTACTTGTTGCTAGTAAGTGGCACATGGCTTGACTCAAATTGGCCCAACTAACAAGCACGATAGTCACGCAAACAGAAATCCGAATCTTCAAACCGGCCAACTCTAAAGGCGCGTCAAAAGAGTTTGATAGCATCCTCTGTGATTCTGCATGTGTAGCAGAGCTCGAGTTACAGGGATTTGCCGTTGTTGGTGTGTTTGGTGACCGAACTGCTCGTGCATTCTCAATTCCTGGTCTCAGAGACATCGGAAAGGCCGATCTTCCCATGATAGATGTGACGAGGAGTACAAACTCAGTTGTTACTCAGACTGGTGACATCTTTGCTTGGACAGGTCCAAGTGAGCTTGCTGTGATCCACGTCTGGGGAACGGGCAAAGGACCTCAACAATCTCCGGACACGCTGATAAACCCTAAGCTTGAGTGCCCACCTCGGCCGACTATTTCAAACATGCAGTGGATCTCGGGCAGCCAATACATCTCTCCTACCGATCTTGATCTGCTGGTTGGAGGCCCAGATAGGCCTCCCAGCAAGCGAATGATGGACGCAGCAGCAGCAGAGCAACGGGCTGCTCGGGCTGGAGAGCCAGCCGCCGCATCGGGATCGGGCAGCCAGGAAGGTTGGGGAGACTACCTTACGAGACAATTGAACGAAAGAACCGAGAAGTTGAACATGATGGGTGACAATATGGAGAACCTGCAGAACAACAGCGCTGGATGGGCAGATGATGTAAACAAGTTCCTCAATAAGCAAAAGAGGAACGTCGTGATGGGTGGCCTTAAGAGCAAGTTCTTTTAATGTGGAATCAAAGATATCCGAGAGTTATGATGGCGGACAGGCAACCAGGTTAGTTACTTTAACAATGAGGTACCAAGGCAGAGTCCTGGTCAATTTACGAGTGCAAATGGGCATTTGCTCCAATATGTCGACGGAGAGTCACGCTTTAAGCCACGAGTTTTAACTAAGGAGTGAAAGGAGTGTAGGGTTTTTTTCTTATTGAGTTACTTACTACTACATAGATCATCTCGCAACTGAAATCCCGGAGTCACTTGATGGCGCATCTTGAATCGCAGTATCCTTACTGACCACTTCCTTGAAAAGGATAGCGAGGAATCTGGGGTGGCTTGTCGGACACGCGATTAGAGCCATCTTGTTCAGTATGGACTTCCGCCACCATTCTCTCTGTTTGAGCAGTGAAGGACTGGTCATTGGAGCCATAGTAACCATCACTTGGGGGTGCACTCTCGGAAAAGCCATCGTATTCGCTTGAAGCCGTGGAACTTACCGGCGAGACTGGCTCTACATGTCTGAGCGGTGAGTTGCCAGGCTTCTGCCAATCTGTTGGAGGCACTATCTGAACATGCTTCGTTGACTCATTAGTTGATGAACTGGAACGAGTAGAGTTATGGTGATTATTGGCGAGTTCGACATAATTCCTTCGCCACTGCTCCACGGTATTAGACAGACGAAGATTCTCTTCTTCATATTTCTCAGCCTTGTGCTGCGATTCAAGTGCTTGGGCCTGTGCAGTCTGAACTATGGCTTGGTATTTCGAAGCCTTGCGCTGGGCAGACTGGAGCTCCTTAAGCTTTCCCTTTTGCTGGCTCGCTACTAAGCACAGCGAAATGGAGATTGCCGTCATCAGAGTCAAAGTAACAGCCAAAATGATGGCAGCTAGATATGAACCTTTCGGATCACCGTAAACAAAGTCGCTTGAGCAAGATTTGAGCTCTTTATGCTCAACGACCTGAATGGGAGCCATCTTCAAGGGCTACCTTGCGAGATGGTACAGGCTGAAAAGTGTCAGTAATCTGATCTGAAGAATTTACTTACCTTGGACACTGACAGAGCCTGCAAGTGGTGGCGTTTTAATGTTGCTGGAGATAGTATGCTGACTTTTAGAGTTTGTGTTGGTAAGACGACAAGATATTCGAGGAAGCTACCTCGACTATAATATAGTAGTGGAAAAGGCCATATTCATCTTCAAGACTGAACATTGATATAAATCAGAGGCAAAAGAATGTAAGAACAATTGGCTTGCGAGATCAAACAATAGCTTTGTTTGCCGAGGCAAGGGGAGGCCCAAGGGCTGTGAACATTCCCATATCATGTTCTTCAAATCAATAACGAGCTGCGGAAACCTAGACTACATTGGATCATTGAAAGTTGTGAGTCCATATTGAACATTAAGTATTGTTGACAGGACAACCGGATGCATCAGCATCAAGACCTTGAACTTCTTTGAATTTTATGAACTTCACATCTGTCAATATTCACAAATGATAGAACAGAGTTAAGTCTTGCCTTCAGAATAACATTTTGAGACAAATCGACTTTGGCTGTATTGGGAGGTAGTCAAGTGTCCCCAGGGAGCAGGAAAACTTCTGACATTAAATCAAGGTGCTAAAATTAACTGGTCTAAAGGTCTGCTAAGATATACTAAACTCACCTAAATCTTTCAATTACTTACCATAGACGTCCCAGGTTTCTTCTGCCTCCCCTGAGGCATCTGTCGTAGTAACGACATAATTGTGCTCGAGCAAAAGTGCTCCAGGTTGGCACACATAACCTATATAAAGTATAGAGAGAGATAGTAAATCCAACCATGAAGCTACTGCAGGTAAATTGTAGTTATATTCGTTTAAAGATACCCGGTAGCTTGACATGGCAGCACATTTCCTAGTACACGTATTCAAAGTTCGGGTTTTCCTTGTCCGTCATATCCATGAACGCAGTAGTGTTGGCAGTAAAATCATGACCTGCTGCTCGTAAAGCTTCACGATGCTGCTCTTTCCGTTTGTTCTCCCACTTGAAGGCATATCTAAAGACGAAAAAGAGGGCGAACTCGATGCAGTTGGCGACAAGAAGTGATCCGATACCAAGGTGGTAGGAGGGTGCCTGTTCGGGGCGATAGAAAAAGGGGCTGGCAATGTTGCCAACACAGGCACCAAACCAGATCATACCAGAAACAATCATCTTTTTAGACTGTCCTCCAGTGTTTGAAGTGATGAGAGAAAGACATATGACAAATGATGCCTGATACGAGCCAGTGAGGTAGCTTCACAGAGTTAGAGGACAGCAAGATGAGGAAGATAGAATCCAATACACTTACAAGCAGATCAAACGGCCAACGTAAGCATCTTCTGGCGCCAGAAGAAAGCCGAGCGCTCCGGCTATGGTTGGAATCATGAAAATGGCGCTGACCAGGGTTCGACTATTGGGAGGCATATACTTGTTTGCCAGAGCACCAAGTCCGATCCATATGACCACGAGGGCGCCCTGGGGAATGCCCAGCAGGGCCGTGTGGAGCGTGTCGAACCCAAGTCCCTGGATGACCAGCGTTGAAAAGTTTGAAATTCCGCCGTTGGGGACATTAGAAACGAAGCCAAGCAAGGTGAATAGCCATGTCTTGTAGTCGAGGTAGGCTTCTTTGATTTGACCCCAGTTGATTCTTCGCTGTTCGATGCCAGTTTGGTTGCGTCGCATTCGAGCGATCATGATGAGCTTCTCATCGTGAGAGAAACCTCGAATGGTGCGAGGAGAATTGGGCAGTAGTAGAACGAGGGCGATGGCCCAAGCAGAACAAAAAGCACCGACTACAAGGAACTCATAACGCCACGACTGAAGCGCTCCTTTGATATTACCAATGGCATAGCCTGTCAAGGAGATGTTAGCTATAACTTGGGAGAAAGTAGGTCGAAGAACTAGCCGATCAAACCTCCGCCAGCAACACCTATACCGTTGAAAGCATACCAAGCTGATATACGACTTGGTTGCTCTTCACGGGTGAAGTACATGGAAGTAATGAGCATGAAAGCCGGGTCTGCGATGGCTTCAAATGCACCGGAAAGGATTCTAAGAGCGAGAAGACCAGCAAAGTTCTTTGCAGCGGCCTGCATCATAAGGAGAGCACCCCACATGAAAATGTTGAAGGCCAAGTAGTAACCGGGAGGGCTGCGTTGCATCAGGAGGTTCGAGGGAATAGCCCAGATCAGCCAACCAAAGTAGAAGCTGCTTGAGAGCCAAGAGTACTCGTCACCTCTAAGTTTGAGATCATCCTTGAGACCAAAGATGGCAGCATAGGAACTAGGCATGGTCGGTTAGATATCTTAGTCCTTCGAGTGCTGTGTAGGTTTAACATACAGTGTTGTTTTGTCAACATAGTAGAAAAAGTAGCAAACTCCCAGAACAGGTATTATAAGTCGGTCTAGTTTCCTTCTGACTTTCTTCTCCAGGATTGGGTCGATTGAATCGTCGGTTGGATATTGTGCAAGAGCTTCGGCGTATATTCCGTCTCCTTGTGGTTTGTCGATATTACCAACTTGGACACTGTCAATCCTGCTGATTCTATCGTCTGGCTGTCCCATCTCTTGAGGCTGAGCCTGAGCCTGAGCCTGTTCGAGCTCACTTTTTGTGGCGTTGGCATCGACCATTTTGATCGCGGGAGTGTTTGACTTGCACGAACTGCAGAAGGGGGGAAGGGCGATATCGGCTTTTATAGCCCGAAGCTGTCGGCCGATAAAGATCTGAGCCGTTGCTTTTAAGATGGGGCGCCCTGCAGGAGTAGATCAATGGAGCGAAACACCTTCAATTCACTTGCAAGATCGATTCGAGGAGGGAGAGACTTAACATATGTATGTGTAGTGAGTTTGATGGGGTATTAGGCATTGTAATAGTTGTCGATCTTATTCCAAACCGATATTCCTGCCAGGCAATGTGATCGTGGTGATAATCTTGACCATACCGGCGTGGGAACAAGACCGAACGCGGACCTAAATTCCGATTTTTCGGCACTTAATCAAACTCCCGATGCTTTTAGTTCGGCGAATGGTTCTAACGTTTCCAGTTTTGAGTCAGTTCCTTTCCAATGCTAACGGCTTTTCATTGATGGATTAACTAGATCCAAGATCCCTCCAATAAAATACGCCTCTCAGAATAACATTAAATCCACAATCTGGGGGATTGTCGGTAGATGAGGAGAAACTGTGGAGAAGTTTGGGGTAAGCTCAACACCAGGATGACGAACCATGCAATCCGTGATGTGACTGGAGATAGCATGGATTGGGGGTTGACCAGGGGTTGGGGGAGGCAGAAAATCTCAGACTAGAGTCCTCAGTGAAAGAAAGGCTTAGGGTAGTTGATGATTAACTTGGCTTGCTCTTTGACCAGTTAATTCTCTCACCAGGATCAAAGGTCTTGAGTCTTCTGACCCCCAGACGGGGAGGGTCTGTTTTGGCGTTCCTAGCTCTGAGTGAGTTTATCATGATAAGATTCAAGCATGAGCTTGGTGTTAGATTATAAACATATCATACAATAAATATTCACTGTAGTATATGTGCGAAACCTCGATCTACTTGTAGAATACACAGAGATCGAGTCTTGCTCATTCGTAAATGAATCAGACACTTTTCATCTGAAGAACAGATAATGAGGGGACCAAGGTCGAAATATCTCAATAGAGCAGCGACATCTGTGAGATGAGACTATTTTGTCAAATGCAATAAATTATTCAAGGGATTGGTACGACAGTATAGCCGCTGAAAGGCAACTGCAGCACAGAGAGGATTTAGGGGAAGAATAAGAAGAAGTAAAATCAGCAGAGATGGTGAAAGAAAGGGCTCTTGCTGGGTTATTGTAACAGTTTGAGACGAGGGTTTTTTTGGCATGACGGCAACAAGTCCACTTATAGAAATGGTTGACCAATCTTTTGTTGGGGCATCTTTCGTAGATCATTGAAAATACCCAGCTATCATTGAGTCAACGCCCTTCATCATGTCGATGGCACGACAGCTATTGCAGTGGCCGTCTATGAATTCAGGGCTCTTCGAACTGCACTCCTATGCCATACGTATCAAGCTGAGTGTCCACGGTGTGAGCTTGTGGTGACTGACGTTGGTGCGTCTGGGCTGCAGGCTCAACAAGAACGTGTGACTGGAACAACAGGGCGAGGATTCGGTGACGGATATATGCAACGCATGAAGTGATACGAAGAAGCCACAGTGCTTCGATGTGCCGAAAGGTAAGGTTCGAGGAAGGATCAACGGGCGTGGTCGACCATGCTGAAAAAGGGTCGTCCCTGGATGGTTGTCGGAGATAGGCATGTAACTGGACTGAAGGTTGTCTCTCTAGGGACCAGATCAAATCGTCCTGCGATCGGATCGAGTAATGTTCTTCGTAGCTAGCACATCTGAACAAATTTCTTGTCAGTGGAGGAACTTAATTCCAACATCATAGCCTGTGGGGGACTAAAAGTTCACCAACAAAGAGCATTGGAGCAAGAACTTACTCTGATTGTATAGTATCTGCCATTATGAGACGTATTCAGAGCTTCATGCTCCAGTCAAAGAACCGAAGAATGCTGTGTCGCAAAGCTCAGGAAACCGGCGTACTGAAGGCTCGCCCGGGATCGTTGTTGAATCTTGTTTGAGTAAAGACAGCAACAAGATGCAGGGAAAATTCTATCCATTTTATACAACGGTAAAGGGATGACGGAGTTTCCTCTACATCCCGGCATCATAATCTCCATCTAGTTAATAGGGAGCCGCGGGACGGGGCGAGGCGAGTCGGTTGACACTCGCGTGGACGCATCAGTAAGGGGGACAACATGGTGCTGCTGAAGATAGGGTAAACTGGCTGCACTAGTCTAATAGACTAATGTGCACCTAAGCGGACTGAAACATGGTGTTGTCATCTTGGATGATCAAGGGAGATGCGCGTGTCTCGGAGGTAAAAGCTCGCGGGAGATGAAGATGACGAGGGATGGAGTCGACAAAAAATGGGAAGAAGAAAGCAAGTGAGAGAAGAGAGAAGATGGCGGAGGGAACAAACAGATAATGACTGAAATTTGAGTTTTACGGCTGACTTGGGCAAGCAAGGCACCTCAGAAGCAAAGGGGGAACAGTGCCTTGAGTGAGTGACGCCTTTCTTGGCTGATCGGATCGGCTGGAAGGGGTTCGCCCTCTCAGACTCACCGCTACGGCGAGGCTGCTTCGAGGGAATCTGTCAATAGGAATTCATTGGTGAACAGTCATTATTAAATCCTGCATGACGACTAAAACTGATGAGAGAGGTAAGGTCAAGGCTTCACACGCAAGATGATGGTGTTGGTCCAAGTTTCCGTGCCATGAATCCGCACGCATCTGTAAAAATAGGGGGGTGTTTTAGGCAGAACAGGATCATACACACCCACTGAGAAACAAATTCACAACCAACAGCATACAACTGAATCACCAGCCGACCTCCTGGGGTCCTGCAGAAATCTTCAGCGAGCCATCCTAATTAAATTGAGTGTTTCTTGGCCGATAGGTATGAGTTTGTCTTTCAGAAATTTCAGAATCAATGATCTCATGAGAACTAATCGCTCGAGATCGCAAACCTCAAGTGCACGACATGTGACCTCACAATCATATCATCGACCTTTTATATATTCACATCCCGCACGCGTTCTGATTAACCGGGTCGACGGGAGTTTAAGTTGAGACCAAGTCTCAGCTCACCCCATACCTCTCCGTTTTCAACTGAAACACTCAAGAGGACATCATTTTGACTTTTAAGCCCCAAAGAAATGTCCATATCCGGCTATGTCGACACAAACTTCCGGGAAACTTGGCATCGGGCCATCGAAGCTCTAATAAGCGATGGATGGTTCAAGCTGTCATCCGGATTCGGGGAGACTAAATGGAAATGCCGGATCCACCAAGTGTTATTAGCGTCGTTCCCTCACCGGTCGATATCATATCTCCATTGACGCCTCGCGGATATTCCGCTACGCAGTAGCGTGTCGGTGAGATGCCGCAATGTAAGGTTGGCGTTTACAGGTGTCAAAGTTGGGTCAAGTTGGGTCAAGTTTGGGTCAAGCAGGTAAAGCCTCACCCATTATGAGACCCAGCCCCTCAAATTAGCCAACAGCGAGCATTTCCTTGATTTAGATCAATACAATACTCTCAAGGCTGACCGAATGCTGAAACTGCTCTTTTTATAGTTTGTTCTATTCTTAGTGCTATTCTGCCCAAGGCATCGCAGCGATCATTCTTATGACGAGTTTTCTACATGTCTTCGGTTAACCATAATATCCTTTGTTGGTTAGATTGTGTTTCTTGGTGCTGGTATGTGACAAGTGTTTATGTGACATTGTAATTCTCCCTGCCTTTATGGAAATCAAATGGCCTGAGCCTTGCATAACGCCTTGTGTAACCTGAGGTCTGTTCACCAAATTACAACAAGGGAGGCGGTATCACAAAGCAAGGATGACTTCTGTCAACTACCAATAGCGATTAATTTCCCCTCGGGGCGTGAGTCTTGACTAATTCATGTTGTTGTTGTTGGTTATCATGTAGCTTAAGCGCCGGACTCCCTAGAGGACTGAAATTATACAACCAGGTGCGACAGACTAGGACCAGGCTGAAGGGGAAAATCCATTCTCTCTGTCATTAGTCTAAGACATGAGCCACACCGATGGTACTGGCTTTTCCAGATGATGAATGCGTGTGTGGTTTTCTATCTCGGCGACGATTGGGGGACTCGGCTGCAGAACTCTGGCTTTGAATGATCTTGCTATGCCCTCCCTGCCTGTCAAATCTGTTCACTTTTGGACCGGATTGAGTTTCGATCCAACTCTTGGTTATCTTGACTTTTTAAAATGCGGTGATACTAACAACTTATAGTAACCGCTTCTCATATCACCTGAATACTCCCTGGTAGCGAATTAGATCTTCTAACATCTAACGGTCTAAGTTATGACTGCGTTAAACATCTTATTGACGTTTCTAACTTCCAAGGAGCTCATAAGCACGGTTTTTACACCAACTGCGTGACAGGTTAATTCCAGTGAATCAAGTATGGATGTGTACAGGGAGGGTCGCTACATCAGCCCGTGGGCTTACAGAGTGAATTTTCAACCCCCTCATTTCAGAAGTTATCAGCTCACAATGTATCCAATTGAATTCTTTGGTCAGTTTATCATGCCTGCAAGCTGAAAGGCCTTGCTTGGAAAACTACTGCCTACCTTTATAAAGGTTGACAGCCTTGCTTGCGGGTGTTAGAATACTCGGGAAGGCATTGGATCAGGTTGCGAAGATAAACTGCCGAGTCAAGGAGCCAACTAAATCCATCCCAGATTACCCCAAGATGTTCTAAGTCTATCGAAATATTCTTATAAATCAGCATCAAATCTTGAAATTTCTGCCATCCCCTAGTCTCGTTTTCAACTCCCCGGACTGTTCGCTAGAGATTGCAGGCCCATGACCGACCAATTGAGCCTTGTGTGATTCGTATTACAGGGGTTCCGGTCCTGTCTTGTTGTTATCTGCCGCAGACTGACTCGTGTCTTGGAAGTTGATGTGCGCAGCCTGATTCCATTTTACCTTTGATATGGATTGCATGCACGAGTATTCCGTCTTGTATGTAAACGCTACCTATGAGTTAAAATTTATTAGTCTCTTTATCTCGGGAACACATTCCACTTTAGACAGCAACAAAAACTCGTCTATTTTACATCGTCAAAATGCCCACTTTTACCCGCGATTTCGTCACAAAGCAAAGACATTACAGGCTTGCCCCAGGCTCAAACCCCGTTCTTAGCGCCAGTCCAACGCTTTGCTACGGGTTACCTCTGCATCAATTGCCCCGGTATCGGGTGGAAAAATACCTAACTTTACAGCCCCTCAACCTCCGAAAGCCGGGAGGGGAGGTGCCCCTCGTTACCTACCAAAATGCGGGGCAGAACATTTACATTTTCGTTGACCTGAGTAAGAGCTCCTGGAAATTCTTTTGCTTCCAACGAGAATCTCTCTATCACAACACCACAGATCAATTCATCGTCAACAATGCCTCAATCCGCCCTCCTCCTCGGTTCCGGCTTCGTTGCCACCCCTGCCGTCGAAGTCCTCGCCAAGGCTGGCGTTCACGTTACTGTTGCTTGCCGTACTCTCGCCTCAGCCAAGAACCTCGCTGGAACTTTCGACAACACCAACGCCATCAGCCTCGATGTCAACGATTCCGCTGCTCTCGAGGAGGCTGTCGCTAAGCACGACATCACCATCTCTCTGATTCCCTACACATACCACGTTGCCGTCATCAAGGCCGCTATCAAGGCTAAGAAGAATGTCGTCACTACCTCTTACGTCTCTCCTGCTATGGAGGAGCTCCACGAGGAGGCTAAGGCCGCCGGTATCACAGTCCTGAACGAGATTGGTGTAAGTAATGGCATCCTGTCTTCCAATTCTAGCTTGCTGACTATCTCAGGTTGACCCTGGGTATGCTTCTCGACCATCTACGACTCTAACCGTTCGCTAACACATATAAGTGTCGACCACCTTTACGCTGTCGACTTCATCGACCGCATCCAGCAGGAGGGTGGCAAGATCAAGTCCTTCAAGAGCTTCTGCGGTGGTCTCCCCGCCCCTGAGAGTATGTTTCCCAACTCAATGGTCAATGATCACAGCTAACCAACTTGCAGACTCCAACAACCCTCTAGGTACTCCAAATCCCGATCATGACTCACGCCGCCGCCACTAACTACGATTAGGCTACAAGTTCAGCTGGAGCAGCCGAGGTGTTCTTCTGGCCCTCAAGAACAACGCCAAGTACTACGAGGACAACAAGCTGGTTGACATCACTGGTGTCGACCTCATGGGCACTGCTAAGCCTTACCACACCGGCTACTTGGGTTACAACTTCGTTGCCTATGGAAACCGTGACAGCACTGGTTACCGTCAGCGGTAGGTCAGAGAGAACTACTTTGAATGGCAGTGACTGACCTCCATAGCTACCGCATTCCCGATGCCGAGACCGTCGTCCGAGGAACCATTCGCTACAATGGTTTCCCCCAGTTCGTCAAGGCTCTCGTCGACATTGGCTTCCTCAGCGTTGATGAGCAAGACTTCTTCAAGCAGGCTATTCCTTGGAAGGAGGCCCTCCAGAAGTTCATTGGTGCTAGCTCATCAAGCGAGGAGGATCTGATCAAGACTGTCCTCTCCAAGACCTCTATCAGCGACGAGTCTGTTAAGAGCCAAGTGCTGGCTGGACTCAAGTGGAGTAAGTCTAAAGTGCTGGCGGTCGTTTCTGAGCGCATGCTGATCCACTATTATAGTTGGTGTCTTCTCTGATGCCAAGACCACCCCTCGCGGAACAGCCCTCGACACCCTGTGCGCCACTCTTGAGCAGAAGATGGCTTATGAGGAGGGCGAGCGCGATCTTGTGGTGAGTACCAATAGGGAGCTTGACTTAAACCTGGGGTTCCACTCTGACTTGCATCCAGTTCCTCCAACACACTTTCGAGGTCGTCAACAAGGACGGCAGCCAGAACACCTGGACCTCCACCCTTATCGAGTACGGTGCCCCTGAGGGTTCCGGTGGCTACTCCGCCATGTCCAAGCTTGTCGGTGTTCCTTGCGGTGTTGGTACGTTCCCCTACGAGATTGAGCGATGGAGTTGATACATACTGACCAATTCTGTAGCTACCAAGATGGTTCTCGACGGTACTATCACAGATAAGGGTGTTGTCGCCCCTGTGTACCCTAGCCTTGCCAGGACATTGATGAAGCAGCTCAAGGCCGACCACGGGTGAGTTATAAGAGTACATTCATTGAAGTCATTTTACTAACTGAGTGTAGTATCGAGTGCAAGGAGAAGATCATTGCTTAAGTGAGCTTTCCGACGTACGAAGACATGCTCGTCACATGAGAAAATGTACAGTCCTGTGAGTCAGCTACAGAACGCATATTGTACCACGACACCATAATAGAAGTAAAATGAAGAAAGAGATTTTAGATGATCCCCCATTTGAAGTATTGCTCCCGGTGTCTTGCTGATGTGATATTATATTAAGCCAAAGCTGTATCTAACCCCTATTACCCCTTTTCTATGCGAAGTGTATTACAAGAACAGAAAGCCACCTCTAACTCCCCTATAATGATAACATCCTCCATCCCCAAGCCTATGAAAGAGTGAAGGCAAAGGAAATCGCAACGAGAGCCAGGATGAAGCTTTCACCCCGAGCCGTGACGGCCGAGTTGACGATGACAGGAGGTTGATCTCCGTGATGTCCGTCGCCGCCACTGGATCCGCTAGATCCACCGTCGTTACCACCATTCCCGCCGTTACCTCCGTTTCCGCCACTGCCTCCCGAGCCTCCACTGCCTCCAGAGCCCCCGCTGCCGCCATTGCCGCCGTTACCACCATTGCCTCCATTTCCAGCAGTGCCTCCGGTACCTCCGTTTCCTCCATTACCACCGTTGCCGCCGCTACCTCCACTGCTTCCACTTCCTCCATTTCCACCGGGGACTGGAACGGGAACAGGCTTGGGACCTTGATTGCAGCCTCCAGGAGGACAAGTCGGAGCAGTCCAGTTACCAGTGCCGTTGTAAGAACATCCACGGCACGGCTGAACGATAGGCTTGAGTTGACATCTGCCATTGGGGCACTTGTTGCGATAAGGGCAGTTGACAACATTGGGTGGGCATTCGTGCCAGACGTCACCTGGCCTAGGGTTTGGGCTAGGGTTGGGAATGGGCATGCCAGTTTGGATGGGCTGAGTAGGTGCGGGAGTGGGAGTAGCACCTGGGAAGGCCTCATATACGATCTGAGCATTGTTTCTCTTGTACAGGTCGTAGATGGGCCATCCCTGAATCGTGGCTCCTCCACAGGTTCCCTTGGATCTGTCGGCCGGGTCACACCATTGATTGCAGAGAGCATTATCAACCTTTGCAACGCGGTAGGCGATGGGCCCTGGTGAGAGGTCAAGACGGTCGCAGACACAGCTGTTTCCACGGAAGCCGATGATGTTGCCATTTGATGAACATGACGAAGTACACCCAGCTTGACCCAGATCGAACTGACGAGGAAAGGTGCCGGGCCTAACAGCAACACATCCAAGATGTTGGAACGCCCCGTCTTTTGTCAGAGCAGGATCAGCGGTTGATTGTGCGAAAACGCCAGCGGCAAAGACGCCAGCAAAGAAGACTGGTCGAACCATGTTGCAACAAAGAAAAGTAAAGAATGACTAGGAACACACAAGGAGTAAGTGAGTGACTGGTTGAGTAAGACGGTTCGAAGTCAGAAAGAGATGGAAGAGAGAGTTATTTATCCTTGATCCAGGCCCAGGCCCTTGGTCTTGCTGTGGCCATGATTCTCTTGGCTATTCGTGAACAGAAGATCAGAGATGAATATCTGAGACAAGCCTCCGAAACCATCCATCTCGGGTAATTTTTGCAGTTTTCAACGCGACGTTTTAGGCTCCCGATGATGTGGTTTGCCGCTTTCAGGCCTGTCTTGGGTTTGAGACATCCAGAAGGAGAGCTTAGCAGAACAGAAAATGTCTTGGCTGATCGGGATGGTCAACCACGTCAGGAATGGGTATGTTTCACCTTTAGGAGATCAACATGCCCGTTTTTCGATGTCTGAAATTAAGCAATGAGTTGGCAGCAACCCTGAGATGGCTCTATCCCTACCAAAGATACCCTACAATGATATGTTGGAAGAACTGGGTTGCTCTTGTTCAATCCGCTGGGACATAACAGTATCCAGTACGAGATCTCGATGGATATTATTATATTCTGAGCTTCAGTATATCAATATCGAGCCTTTGGCTCATTTGAGCATAATTAATGTGCTGTCTCAATGGACTAAACAAATACTATCCATGATACTCAGGCAGATGACATCGCAACTCTGTATCGGATATAGTCGGATTCTCCCCAAGTCAGGCCGCCAAACGCTTCCAGATATTTTCTCATACTTGTCTCACAGTCTCTCTATAGCTAGAAGGCCCAAATCTTGTTCGCAAGCACCACATTCAAAAATTTATGGATTCGCAACTCATCATAGACCTCTATCACATTCCGTGATCCATCCATCATCAACTTCATAACACTGTAGATTAAATAGTCGGCCATGTAGACGTAACTTGTATACTCCTTCAAATGGCAAGCAATTCCTCTTGTTATATCGAAGCCAAGTCAGGCGGAATCAAAATTCGTTCTCAATCTCACATTAGCTGTGCACGAGACTGGCATGATCTTTTCACAACACAAGTCACATTTTCAAACAGCAACAGTGGCAAGATCGCTTGAATAGAATTGATCAAGAGCTATTTTAAGAACAGGTAAAATCAACCTCCACCGCCACCTCCCGCCAAACCGGTCGCCCCTTTTAGTTTTGATATGATCCTGTGCTTCCTCAAAGCTGCGTCCGCTAGCTTATACACCAGAAATCAAGATCGCTCGCATTGTCCATGCCCTTCCCACCGCCCTAGCGATCAACTCTCCATTCTCGTCACCCCATCATCTCTGTCATTCCATCACCATCTACGTTCCTATCCATGGTATCGTCCATCACAGATCAGATGTACCACATAGTGCCGCGGAAAAAGTCTCTCTGTCGCTGCTCACCATCTAGAGGCGTCTGGCTAAGTGCACCGCCAAGGCGGATCAACGGAGGTGCTTCAACGGTCCTGTTAGGAAGGCCGGTGGAGGCACCATGCGCCTGCTTCTCCGCAGCGATCTCGTGGCCCTTGGGACCGATTCGGAAACCATCACTAGAGTTGACGTTCTCATGAGCGCGAGCTCGGTTACTAGCGAGATGCGCATAGTAGACCGCCGGGTGAAGTGATACAGGAGTGGTCGAACGTGCGTACGAGTAGCACTGTTGGTAGATCATCTTCTGTAGATCGTTGACCGGCATGTTCATCTCATCCAAGATGACGTGGTAGTGAACCGGTCGAGCGGTTCCTTGGATAGCAACGTGTGAATTGAGGTAAAAGTCAAACATGAAAGGATGCGTGACTTCTCGCTCAACCAAAGTACCAGGCAGAGGATTGCCATTCTTGTCTCCTCTCTGAGGGAAGAAACGAATGTGGTGACGCTTGGTGGCCACAATCACAGTGAATTTCGGCATCTGTCCACCAGGGAGAATCGTGGCAAGATATTTCTTGATCTCTTCGACTTCCTGGTCCAACACGTACGCAAATTGTCCCTCTCCTACGCCGTCTCGGAAATAGATCAGGTGTTTAGGAACCAGTCCTTGGTGATTGGTTCTCCAACGAGGTATGAGCTCTCCGAACATGAATCGGATGTTCGAGGGGGTCAGCATCTCGACACGGTATCCATTGGTCTCAGCAACGGCGGCGTAACGAGTGGCATCCTTGTCCACAGACATAGTCATCGAGGCGGTAGATGGGGTTACGCCTCCAGGAGCGGCGTGGGATACATCAACACCTACAATCATGGTAGGGCGGTTGTCGGGGAAGAATGTAGGTGTCTTCCACAGAGGAGGAGTGCAGGAAGTGGCACCACCAAGCTTGGCGTTCACCTTCATGCACACATTTGAATGGTATTGCCCATTGTTCTTTTGCACGTGGTTGCCGAGGACGACCTGGGTAAGAATACCAAATCTGCAATCCGCAGACTTCTTGAGGCGCTCATAAGTTCCACTGTTCTTCTTGGAGACGATAACAAACAAGAGCTGGGTGTAGCCCCGTTGCTTCGTGATCTGCTCATGAGCGTGCGCAATGGCGCCCGCAGCATCAAAGCGGAGAGGTCCAGGTGTAGGCAAAAGGATAGGGTCGGCAGTCACTTTACCTCCATGACCGATGTAGGTGCTCTTGAAGGTATTGGCAAAAGCCTGCATAACGGGTAGCTGCACTTGTTGCTCTAGGGCGATGAAGCCCCAGTTCTGGAGAGGCGCGACATTCTGTTTCCAGAACTTCTTGCCTCGCAAGTCCCAACGACCAGCAAATCTGGGTTCGGCTGTACCTTGTCCAAATCTGACAATAGGGGCAGTCAGAATGCGTGCCTCGGTCTTTGCAAACTGCGGCTCAAAGTTGACGCCATACTCCTTCAGGAACGGATCTTGACCGATCTGCAGGGCAGCTGCTCCGTTCTGAATGTCCCGCTTGCGAATAGCTGGACGGGTGACAGCAATCTTGATCATGGCGGCTGTCTGTTCCGGGTTAAGCTTGAAGGGATATCGCTGCATATCCTCAACGAAGGCAAGCTCCATAGGAATCATGCCACCTTTTCCAGCATCAATGAGTGGAAGATGAGACAGTCTCAGGGTCACGTTGTACTCCTTTTTGTAGTACTCATACACTGAGATGTCTTTCCCGTCCTTTTCAAAAGTCCAGGTCCTGGCCGATGCGCCAGCTTCGCCGAATTTCTCATTGAAGGCAAAGTCTTGGATGGTGTACAGTTTGTCCTCGTTTTTCCGACCCTTGTGCTTGATCTTGAATTTGAGTCGGCGCATCTTTCGGAGCTGCTTGAAAGCATCCGAAGAGGCCCAGCGTCCAGTTTTGCGGTCCCGGACAGGCTTGAGCAACTCATTGATGGTGGCAGGTGTATGTCCTCCATACTTCCCATCGAGAGTGGCGAGGAAGTTGCAAGCCATCTTGTCCATGGGCTGATTTCCGATCCAGAAACAAGTGTTGGCAACATCAATGTTGTAGCCGAGGCCAACACCTCTCTGCTTGATATTGTCACTCATGCGGATGGAAGCATATGTGCCCTTGTGAACCTCAACAATAGCTCCATCCTGAAGAGGAGCTCCAGGCTGACCAGTCTTGTAGAAGTTTCGTTTGATGGCCAGGAGGTTCTTGGAAGGCCACTGTCGCACAAGATGATCCATAAAGTTCAGCGCCTCTTGAACGCTGTTGTTGAAAGAAATTTTGTGTTCGAGATAACCTTGAAGGGCAGAAACTTGGATTTCGGTAGTTTTGCGAATTGTGACAAGAAACTTGCCGCCTTCGCGAGCTCTCCCACCAGCAGGTCGTTTGCCCTCGTCAAGGTCGACAGTGAAACGAGCCTCGCCACGTTCCACAAGAGCAGGACTCCATGCCAGCTTCTTCCCATCGAAGAGCCACATGTCGAACTTGTAGGTTTTCAGGGCATTGCGAGTAGTGGCATGCGCCCAGATCTTCTTCATGACGGGGCCGATCTTGTCCGGGTTGGGAGAGATGAAAACCTGTAGTGTGTGTTAGAATGAATGAAATATGAACTCATTGGAAGCTACTTACGTCGTACTGATAAATATTTTTGTTGTAGTCAAACTTGGTCATCCTGTACTGGTTGACCTCGATCTGCTCGGGTTTCCCCTCAGTGTTGAAGCGCCCATTTCGCAGCGTGAACAAGTCCTTCTTGGTCTCGGCCACGTAAGCGTCAGGGGGCAATTCCATTCGGGTATTGCCTTGGGTGTCCTGACCCTGGGGCTTGGCTGGATCAAAGCCAAGGGGTTTCTGGTAGCCGACAGCAGCACCACCAGCAGCAGAGCCAGACGCAGAACGTGCGGGAGACTGAGAAGGACGTCGTCCCGAGCCGGAGGGGCCTCCAGCCGGGGAAGGCGATCGACCTCTGTCAGACATGGTGACTGATGTGTCTGGAAGAGTCAGTGACTGAAATGAAAAAGATGATTGGTGAAGAAAGATTGAACTGAGTGAAAGGAGGATACGATTGAAGTGTGCTGTAGGTAGGTTGAGGGAAGTGTTGGAGGAAAGAAAAGGATTTGAAGAGGAGAAAGAGAGGGTATCTATAGTCCTGAGGGAAGAGGTGCTTGGACTGAGATGACAGAAAGGGAAGAAGGAAGAGACTCACCGGTCACGGAAGCAAGCGATTTGCTGTCGCGTTTGTGCAAGCGCACGAAGTTTGGGATCTGATTGATGTGAGAATTTGTTGCGAGGGCAAAGGAGCTCTGTCTAAGTCAAGCAAGAGAAGTTTGGTGCTTGCGTAAGGCTTGATAGAAGCTAGAGTTGTCGATATGCTTGCTCAAGAAGAGGAAGCGCAGGGAGAAGTGGTGGTGGTGATGAAGGAAGAAGGAAGGAGAGAGGAAGAGGGAGAGAGGAGGGGATTATATAGCTAAGAGAGAGGGAAGCTGGAGAGGCAGTGACTCACTGTGTGATGTGCCCAAATTGAAGCTTAGGATGAGTTTAGGATGGAGTGTTGGTGCTGAGGTGAGGAGGTGCACGAGGAGAGAAAAAGATGAGTTTAGGATGTGCACGGAGAAAAGATATCAACAAAACGCCCCAAGAATCAGGCAGCAATTACACTGAGGAATTAAGGGCAGCCACTGCAACGACACTGGCAGATTATGGATCCGGTGATGCATTGAGGAATTGAGGAAGCAACGGCGGCACTGGCAATGAAGTGATAGGAATTAGCTACGAGTATCATCACATACAAGGATATTTCAGGAACTTATCAATGCCAAATGTTATCTAGCAATACAATTGGCCATTTTTGAACTCATATAAGCTTGCTAAAAGCTTGTAAGAACTTTCGTTTGATAAAAAAGGTTGAGTGTCAGTTGAGTGTTTGGATGGTCCAACGACTTGGTCAAAGCCACAACCCGGACTAAACAGTGTATTTATTGTCAAACAAAATATTGTGGCGGTAGTGTTCATAAACATACGGACCGTGGCAAACAGAATTAGAGACACTGTATTTGATATATGGGTAAATGCAGCTCGATATGTAGCAATCCGCGGTGGCATCAATTCTCAGTTTGCAGCCGTCTACGGCTAAAAACTCGACAAACGTTACAATGATCACAAAGCACAAGCACAAAGCACGTACATATTCCAGGACTCGAGTCAATTATAAAAGGTTATTGAAGTTGTTTGATACCAATTGAGTAAGCAGATAATATTGCTGCATCTCATCCTCTCAACAAACGAAATATCAATGTCACCCACCACTTCTGATGTCTGATTCCCCCAAACGCCATACCATGCATAACGCGCGAGGCAAAGACAATCCCAGCACGGCCCTCAACGTCATCCAAAAACCCCTTTTCACCGGTATTATTAGATCATGTTGTCTACAGCCCAAGATCCCTTGTCATCGATCATTGGCATCCTCTCGAGTGATTTCTCATTGAAATCGATATCCTCCAAACTGCCCTGGTGCCGGTGCGCCGTAGCCACCAGGTACCTGCGGCCACATGGGCAGTTGGCCGTTCGGGTCAGGAGGAGGATAGGGGTTGGCTTGGAAGGTATTTCCACTCTCCGGCCGCAGCGGCGAGTTCCTATACCCGCCGGCTGCAGACGCCACTCTTCCGTATGGGCTCAGCGGCCTGCTGCCGAACTCGCCCGAAGGTTGTCTAGTGTGGGGGGGATTACCAAAGCGTGCCTGGCCACCACCTGTAGCTTTCAACGTGGCGGCATCAGGAAGTTGGACGTCCCGGAGAATGGAGACCATGGCCGTGGGGTTAACGCGCTGTGCGTCAAAGCTCTGAGAAGGGGGAAGGATATTAAGAAGGAAAGTGATATCCCTGTGTAACGCTGATGCTTGGTTCCGGCGCTGCTGGTCAAGGCGGCGGCCCGCTGCACCCTTGAGAGGTGACACTCCTCTAGCGAGTCGTTTGGGGGGGTTAAGCTCATCATCGTCTACAGCAAGAGGCCGTTTTGGAGAAGCAGTTGCCCGAACATACTGAGGACGGGGACTCTGTTCTTGTCGCGCTGGCATGGGGCTGTTTCGCAGTGAGATAGGCTGCTCGACCATAGTGGGCATGACTTGCTTTGGCCTCATTTGTACTGCCTTCGAAATGATAATGGGGGCAGCAACTGGGTCAAACTTGTCGGATGAAAACCTGGCAACAAAAGACTTCAGTTTGGGGTCCTCAGGGAAGAGTTCTGCCATCCGGTCCTCCAGCTTTGAGATTTGCGATAGCTCGCCATACTGCGATTCGTACTTGTGGAAATAAGCGTAAAGCGGCTTTGCCTTTGCTAGAGTCTCTGGTTTGGAAACCAGTCGGGTGACACAAGTCTCGAAAACGGCTCGCGCATCTATAATTGATTAGTTTCAAGCGTTGCCTCTTCGGATATTCCAAACCTACTAGTCGTGTCATCCTTGGAATGAAGATACTTCAAGTATTCTATCATGAACATCTCATCGTTGGGGAACAGACGGGCGCCTCTTTCGAAGATCTTGGCGCCTACAGGATCCTTGTAGACAACAGACTCAAGAAGAGCAACGGCTACGTAGACATCGCTTGTGAGTCGTCCCTTCTGGCGTGCATCAGTGAAGACTTTGCGCAAACCACCTTCTGACTGATTGCCTTTGCCTTGAATGCGGCGCATGGCCCTTGCGAGAGCAATCCAGACATAGGAAATCGTACGGGACAGAAGTTGTGTTTCAGCAGCGTATCCTCTCTGGATTGCAAGAATGCGTTCTTCCATGGGCGAACGCTTAGGCTTGCTGTCTTCCTCGTCGTCGTCGTCATCATTGTGTTCGATGGAAGCTTGAACCAGATCTTGTGCGGCGGCCTGTCTCAATGTAGAGACCTCCAACTTCTCCCGCTCTTTGACTTTGTCACCCATTTCGTACAATGTTTCGAGAACATCATCGTACGGCTTTCGGACAGCCTGGGCAAACTCGGCCTTGTCGACCTCTTTGCCAGGGTAGTTGACTTCAATGTGGTCTGCGTGTTTCAAGGCGAGCAAAACACTTTCACGGTTTGCTCGAATGCCTTCAAGCAGCAATTCTGTGCCCAATTCTTTGTCGTTTTCCCGGATGTCGTTTTGGAAACACCACTCTGCCGCATCAACCCAGATCTCAGGCCAGAAACGGAGTGCCATCAACGCTTGCTTGTAGACATAGAGTACCCGTTGGTTGTATGTTTTGGGCTCGTCAGTTTTCAAGACAAGGGGATCCTCTTTCTCCCAAGCGATCCACTTCTTCCACAGTTCGACCTGGTCTCTGAATTCCTGGTCCCCATCAAAGCCTGGAGCTGGCGGTAACCTGGGAAGATTAGTGCGTCTGAGGTGCCGGGTGATGTTGTCCAAAGCAATATTGGCACTCTTGGCCGACATATAGCCTGGCGAGCGCTCTTGTATGAATTTGCGTCCCTGTTAATGTTAGCTTTTATGCTATTGTAGGCCAAGGGGAAAAGCATACAGTCATCTTATTCAGTCCCATCTCGAACTGGTCATACTCCTTCCAGAGATTGTTGACGGTCAACATAGGCACGGAAATAGCGCGTTGATATACCTTGCGCAATTGATCCATCTTTTGTTGGTCCTGCCAACCTGTACCGCCGATTTGGCCGGGGCCGTTTTTGACGAACTGGACATAATCTTGCCAGATATTGCCGGAATCTCGGTCCACACCAATGTTGTCGATGACAAACTCATAGGACTGGGTAATAGTTCGGCGAGCTTGACCCGAAGGATCATTGTTGAGATCGTTGCGACGGCGAATATAGTTGAGATAGACTGTCCACAGCTTGACATTGGGTACAGTCATCAGACATCTTCCAAAAAGCTGTTCAGCATCGACAAAGTTGTCGAGACCAAGCTCCATCTCGATCCATTCGACCCAGACGTCAGCCTGGTAGATGTTGTCAATACATATTACTGGAAGGAATGAAGTTCACTCACAGCTTGTGGAAATATTTCGAGAAAACGATTATAGGTACTTCGAGCCTGATCAAGTCGGCTTGAGCGTCTATGGTCGGCGATCAAGTTAAGCCAAGCATCCATATCCCCACGAGGGTCCTCTTTAACACGAGCCTCGAGGAGAGCAACAGGATCGAGACCAGCCAAAGCTGGAGTCACATTGGAAGGAACAGCAGGAGGGACAGGTGTATGGGTTGGAGCTGGCTGAGCGGGTTCATCAGATGCAGTGGAACGGCCAGGATGGGGGAGCGAGGGCACTTCTTCCGATTGAGGAGCAGTATTGGAAGGCTGGTCAGCTTCATCTTCACCCTCATCCTCGTCATCGGATGCTTCAACAATAAAGCCCCCTGACATCTTGGGCTTGGACGGTTGACGTTGAGCAGTGGCCGCAGATTGTTCAGCAACCGGCGCAGGTGTACCAATGGTGACTGACTCTGGATCATATTCTCCCCCGTCATCTTCTGTACCATTATCTGCTGTATCAGCGTCACCAGAGGCAAGAGAGTCTTGAGCGTAGTTATCAACTTGTTCCTCGCTATGCTGAACTTGAAAACCCGGCGCGCCAGTATCCTCTCCTCCCCATGAAGCACCTTCGGAAGTCATCCTGCGATTTTTAGAAAAAGGTCGTGCTGCCAAGTCTCGATCACGAAGCAAGCGATTTCAGTAGGCGCGTCGGCGAAGGCCAGCGAAACCAGAAGATAATGTCCAAGTCGCGAACGGCAATCGGGAGACCAGAATTGAGAATACGCAAGCGGTCGCTACTCGATAGAGTCACGAGTATCTCGATTGAAGGGGTGCGATGGGCCCGGTCGAAAGTGATTCAATCCTTGATACGAGACGAACGGGTAGAATCTGTCGCGAACGAGGCAAGCTCCAGGAGCTGCGCCAGCTGGCTCCGGATGATATATGTCTGAATTCAGCGCCTAAAGAGAAAACCAAAGACAGCGATACAAAGACAGGCGTGCAATCGATCCGGGTCGGGGAAATGGTCGTGCGTCGAGCTGCGCGTGGATGGTTTTGGTCGAGCGCCTCAAAGTCTGATAGCTCCAACAAAGAACAGTAATCTCGAACAAAGCAGTTGCGGCAGAACCCAGGTTGGGCTTAGAATGTCAAAGGCGGTGGACGAACTTGGTATCCAAGAGCCGCACTTTAGTGGGTCACTAGAAAGATGGATGGACAGGCTTGTAATGCAGGTAGTTATTTAAAAGAAATGCATGAGATTAATGAGAATGGATAGCACTATGTATGAGTGTATTGTCAGAAAAATTGACTGATCGCCTTGTTCATATAAGCTCAGGCTCTCTACAAGATTCGTAACACTAGGACTACCCAAAAGAAGAGATATTATTCAATGACAGCCCGTTGGGCTTTGGACAATGCACGCAATCAAACAATAATTGTCAAGGTCACATGACTGAGATGAGTTCCTGGAATTCCATTCAGGGAGGTCGCGTCCCCAACGCAACCTCTCTACGCGGGTGTGACCGCTAACGCGTCCCACTGTCGCTCCTCACATTTTGGACCTGACGCCCAGGGCAAGTCATCTCCCGTCGCAACCAGAAATCGATCCGCTCTTGTTTTCTTTTACCCATGCTTGCATCCTGCTATTAAGACTAGTACGGCGCTTTTCATCAAACAACTACTACTACCACTACATCCACCCACTTTCTATTCCTCTCTTCTTCTCTCTTCTCTTGCGTCTTGCATCTCACATCGCGCTTCTCCCCACATCAACCTTCACGCATCCTAAAGAACCAGACACTTGTGCTCTCGTTCTTTTTCACCCTTCTCTTTTAAAACCTCAATTTTTGCCACTGCAGTGTGCTCCTGATTACGACCTACCCAGTTCATACACTCCCATCTTCATCAAAATGTCTGTCGTTTCGCTTTTGGGCGTTAATGTCCTGAACAACCCAGCCAAGTTCACCGACAAGTACGAGTTTGAGATTACCTTCGAATGCCTCGAGCCGCTAGAGAAGGGTTCGTGCAACTTTGGTCGCTTGCAGGAAAAAAACCACAGCGCTAACATAGGACAGATCTCGAGTGGAAGCTCACTTACGTTGGATCCGCTACCAGGTATGGAACAGCTTGATTGAGGCCCCTCCTTACACCGCTTCTTCTAACACTTCTCAGTGACCAGTACGACCAAGAACTCGACTCCCTTCTCGTCGGTCCCATCCCCGTTGGCGTCAACAAATTCATTTTCGAGGCCGATGCTCCCAAAACCGCGCGAATTCCCGATGCAGAGATTCTCGGTGTTACCGTCATTCTCCTGACCTGCGCCTACGATGGACGTGAGTTCATTCGCGTCGGTTACTACGTCAACAACGAATATGATTCGGAGGAGCTCAACGCTGAGCCCCCAGCTAAGCCCATTATTGAGCGTGTGAAGCGCAATGTCTTGGCTGAGAAGCCCCGAGTGACTCGATTTGCCATCAAGTGGTAAGTCAAAAAACAGCAAACGATAATGTATCTAAGCTAACACGACTCTAGGGACTCCGAGGCATCTGCTCCCGCTGAGTACCCTCCTGAGCAACCCGAGGCTGATCTTGTCGCCGACGGCGACGAATACGGTGCTGAGGAGGCTGAGGAGGAGGAAGCCGCTGAAGCTGACGAGGCTGAGGCTAGCTCCAAGGCCAAGGCCAGCAACGGAGAGGATTCAGAGATGGCTGGTGTGGAGAACGAAGGAGAGAATGCTCAGGATGAGGAGGAGCTGTCCGATGACGGCAGTGTCGACATCGAGGGCGAGAGTGAGGAGGAGCTTGAGGAGGAGGAGGAAGGAGAGGGCGAGGCTGAGGCCGATGGTGATGCCATGGAGGTTGACAGTGCCGAGAAGCCCGCCACATCAGCTGCCAAGCCCGTGAGTGTCGCTTCCTAAGCACTCCAATTGAGCATATTTGCGTGTGATTTGGCTGCAATGCGAACGAAGCATTGGACAATGCTACTAAGAGGTTTTAATACGCCAGCTGGGACTTGTTTGTTTTATAGAGTTATGAAGACATGAAAGGGAATGATATCAGGCGGGCGGGTTGGGTATAGAGCTAAGGTAGTCGAGAAGACACATTAGGCTATCGCTTGGACATGTAGGAGTATGAACTAAACCCTATTGTTGCAAGACATGCAGCTGTCAGTTGTATCTCAGCCAGTAAAGTGAGGCTCAAATAAGCAGTGCAGTAGTAGGAAGCAGTGCATGCATTGCAGTAGTCGTCGACTGGTCAAAGGCACATGACAAACGTAATTGCATTTGCTCAACACCATGTTGATCAGCGATAATCTAAGGTTCTGACGATGAATTTCGGCACGTGGATGCTGTGAAACTCTAACCCCCGCGTTCAGGGTCGCCCGGTTTGTGAGAGAAGATGGCTGCATGACGTACAATGTTGGAGACAGAGGGTGAACTACAGGTAATTTTGTAGAGTAAGCAGATGCCTTATATCCAATTCCGCAGCGCCGCCATCATGGCGTTCCGTTGACAACCGCTAGAGGCCGCGTTCAAGCGAACATCAAGTCGAGTTGGTGACCGACCAAACGCCTTTTTTTAGTACAGCCTCGTTATGAGAGTCCTATGGGACTGATTCTCCATTCCCCAGCTAGTCTCTCACTCCATTTCAAATCAAGATTTGGGTTTCAGTAAGGACTTGGGTCAGTGAGGGTTGCCAGCTCTTGACAGTCCTATCATGAAGCAATAGTGTACACATGCGCACATTGACGAGATGAGAAGTTGTCCATCGACGTACAATGGTAGGTGCTGCAATGGATGCTCATGAGAATCACAGTATTGAGCCTCAGATCAAAGGCACACTGAGAAGAATATCGCCTATAACCAAGTTGTGTTCTAGCTACTAGGTTACCCTTGAGACAAGGTTGAAAGCTGCACCTTGTCTCAGATGCCAGTGACTTGGAATGCGTGACATGTGGACGAACACCTGTTGGCCCTCGGAGTCATAGTTAGTGCCCGCGTCACTTGGCGCGCTAGGAGCTTGACGTAGCTTATCTTGCTTCACTCAGGGATCTTCGTTTGCCCTACCTTTTCCTCTCACAACCATCCATCCCCTTGCTTGTTCAACCTTAACCATGGATGTTGACCGAGCAGGACTCAGCCGCAACATTCATCGGGGTCCGCCGATGACTTGAAATCAGGCTCGAGTTTGAAAGAATAGAAATACCCCTCGACCTTCCACCTCCACCTCCTTTCTTGACAGAGACTTTTATAGTATTAGAATACCATGTGAATATTTCCATTGTCAAGCCAAGTGACGTGAAACTCACCAATGACCACAAACACTTCCTCTCAGGCTCTAGATGATCTCGTCAGAGCAACCGACCTCTTTCGCGAACAATATCTACGCGCTTTAACAAACCTTCAAGATGGCCTCGTCGCTCGTAGACGAGACACGGCAGAGAGTCATGCTCGTAGCAGCATATCTATGCCTGAGCCCTACGGTGCATTCACGCCACCCTTGAGAGCTTCCACTGGCCCAACATTTGCAACAGAGGGCTCTTTGTCTCCTATCTTCCGGCGAGGGCGGGCCGCAACTCTTGAGAGCACAAGAGAAAGGCCATCTTTGTCTGCTGAGCCTCAACACTTTACGGGTTCACCAAGTGGCAGTCATCGCGTTGTCTTTACGCAGGACGAAGATGTTTCCTTCATTCCTCTCCCTCTCCTGGATAACACTACAGCCACTACCACAACGCGAGAGGTTGAGGACTATCACCATAACATTGTCAGGGATCATCTCGGCCAGGCAGACTGGGTCGATGGTCAACTCCTCCAGCATCTGAAAACCGAAGATTTCACTCCTGAGATGGCATCCCTCCTAGACGATATTATGAAACGACGTTCCGAGATTGATATAGATGTACCCTTTCGTGAATTTGCGGCGTATGAGAGAGAACAGTATAGTCAGTCCACATTTGAAGTGTACGAGGTTGGCCATAGCTGTAAACTCACCAAACTCAGCGCTGACGGAGATGGAGATGGGCAGTCAGATGTCAAGTACACGGGTGAAGGCCCCTACGAGATTCCGGCTGATAACGTCGATGCTCCTACGGTTTGGGAAACAATCAGGGTTGTCAACCAAAGCGGCACGTCTACAGGCCGAATTACGTACGTCTTCCATTATATAACACCTATCGGGTTGGACTAACATTCTGTAGCATCGTTCAAGAGCCTACGCCTCTTATCCTCGCAGCACTTCACTGGACCATGTCTTCGCATTTTGATATGAATGAGCTGCTCACTCATCTCCTCTCTGACGAGCCTAACCGTGGCCGTACTCATGCCTTCATGACTAGAGCCTACGAGAGGTCTCCCTCCCAAGCAACTTCTCACTCACCCATCGTTGCCCCATCATCGCCAGTCCCGCTCACAGCCAGACCGTCGGTGTCGTCAACCCCTCCTACACCTAACGTTCGTCAGAAGTCTTTCTTCTTTGTATTCAAGTACTACACAGTTGTTAGTCACCCTCTCGAGCCAGCTCCTTGGCAGCGTTTCGATAAAAGACCTTCAGAAAGTCGCCTCGGAGATCATATTGATATCGCTGAGTGCGGCTCTGTATTGGCTCTGTCACTCAGCGGAGACTCTCATAAAGCTCCCCCTATGCGTTCGAGAAGAGAGCGTGCTCGAGAAGGGATTCTATTCAATACATTTGGTCCATGGCAGTTACTTGCTATCCAGAGCTTTCCTGATAATTCTCATACTGTCCGTGGCCCGGAGTTTCAAGAGAAGAAATATGTCAATGGACCATATGCATTTCTGGACCTACTGATCTCCGAGTATCGTGATGCAACAAAGCGAAATCTGATCCTCCATGAGCGAGTTACCAAGCTCATCACTCCCCCGGTACGTTCACTAAACCCCCCATATCTCAACGCTATGCTAATCATCTCCAGACCGAATTCATGTTTGACCCTAAACTCAGAGACAAGCTGTTATTTGAAGATAAGCACTTCACCTACATCCGAAGGTACTTCTGGGCGTACAACACCCTCGCCGTTGTGAACACGGGTATCAAGTCAATGATCGCGGCATATATCGACACATTTACCGACAGCTTCTGGGCCGGCACCCACCCGGTTCTATGGCCACATCACGCAGCTGACTCGCCTGATGGGGTTGCCTATCGTAAGCACATGGCTAAACTGCGCTGTGAGCTTGACAAAGTTGTCCAAGAGCTTACAGAGGTTCTCAAACGCAACGAACGAACCCGTAAGGAGATCGAGAACTTGCGAGATCAGCTCTTCAGTGGAAGCTCCATCAAGGAAAGCCGGAGAGCTATTGAACAGGGCGACAACATCAAAGTCCTCACAATGATCAGCATGATCTTCTTACCACTTACTTTTGTCACGGTACGTTAGCAAAGTTTTCTATTTACAAGCCTTCACTAACAACAACCAGTCTGTCTTCGGTATGACGGTCTTCACAGTCCCCGCAACTGACTGGCGTTTCCCTCTGACGATGATCCTCGTCTGTGTCCCCTTCATGCTTCTCGTGACCTTCCTCCAAACACGCTCGTTTGGTGTCCTGCTGCGCAAACTTGGTGCCATTGGCAGCGCACCTGTTCGTCTCATGGCCCAAGCTCGCAGCCGGCCTCGAGAGATCACAGACGTCCCTGATAATATCTCAATCGCAGCGGCCAGGGTAAGACGAGGTGGTGGTACATTGCTTGGGAGGATAACAGCAAGACTTTGGAGTAAGAGGGCGGCACAGAAGGTCGAGAGGGATGATTTGGGAGGTGTTTAGTTAGTATCATGGTCCTCATTGCGATGTACTCGGTTTCGCGTTTGTATAATGATCACGGCTTCAAGGCGTTCTCGCTTTCTCTCAGGACAACGATGTCCAAGTATCATTGTGCCTTGATACGATTACGATTTATGGTTACGAATTATGAGATACGATGGGCAAGAGATTTGGGCATCTACTATCATGTATCTATACTGAGGGTACCAGATTAACCCCGTTCCATTTTCGATACTGAGTTTCGAGTGTATGCTTTTCTGCTAAACAAGCCCAATTGTTTAAGTCTCATGCTCTGAGAACTGATACGCGTTCATGCCAGCTTCTCCAGTGACGTAGGCAGCATTGTGAAACTATGAATGATGGTCAAAAATATTGGCAGAGAACATTATCATGACAGCAACTTTGGCACATGAGGCATCAAATTCAAAACAAACATTTACAAGCTTTAATCCTTAAACACAGTTCTCCTATACTTCAGATCCAACGCCGGACCATCATCGATGACTCTAAACCTATACACCCCTTTGAGGACCTCATTCAATAGTGAGGAGTTGACTAAGCCACTTGATAAGTGAGTAAGTAACACAGTATCTTGTCCATCTCAGTTCCCTTTACGTTCTCTTTCTTTTTTCTTTTTCGAATCCGATTTTCCCATTCGTCGTCTACTCTCACTTGTATGAGATGATCAGTTCTGAACCGTGAGCGCAGTGGCAGTATGGCTTATCGTTCGGTAGCCAGACCGACGTATGCCAAGGACCAGTTCAATGTTGGCGTATGCAGCAGGACGCTAGGAAGTGAGACAGCAGACGCAGGAGAAAAGATCGAACAATATAATGAAACGGGGTATCCATCGTAACGAATCGTCCATCCATTCTGTCCATTCGTTATCCCCAAGGTCACACCCGTCCAAAATCGGGATGATGTGCTGTTGCCAGTGAAGTGCTGTATTAAAATGAAACCCGTCAAGAAAAGACGCCGTGCCGGATTGTGATTGAGCGGTATAAGCCGCCGTAACACGTAAACGAAGGTGCCAAGATCATCAACCCGCCAATAACTATAGACACCTCATCCGATCAAAAAGAAATGCTCGCTCTGCTTAGAGCCATTCAGGCCCTTGCAGGCAGCGTGGCGATGAAAAGAAGAAACAATCGTGCTTTCGTGACGTCGTAAACCGCTGGTAGGCTGAAAAAGTAGAAAGAAGGTGATATAGATATTTATTTGCAATATCAACCCTCATCTTCATCTTCATCCCCTGGGCTGGCTGTGTCCGTCTTAGCTTTCTTGTTTGAGGTGGCCGAGCCGGCTTCAGACTTGCGCTTTGTTCCCGTAGTGCCAGAGCTTTCCCCAGCAGAATTATCTTTGCCATCGACACTCTTTTCACCTTCGCGGTCCATTGCTGCCACCTCCTCGGCAGTGAGGAAACGTCCACCAGGACCGCGAGGTCTGCGCATAGCATGATTATGGCGTGACTCGTGAAGATATGGTTTACGTCCTTTTGACGTCAGTCGAAGCTGTTCCTCAAGTTTCTGTCGAGCAACACGACGCTTGAGTATGCGATGAAATTGCTTAGCGTTCACGTAAAGCGGCGACTCCTCCGCACCACTCGCGGCCGGCATTTCCGGGGATTGCGGGTGTTGCATCTGGGGAGCGGGCATCTGAGATGGGGCAACGCCTGGTCGAGCACCGGCATGGCTCATCATGGGCGCCGTCGGAACGCCAGGACTCGTAACCTGGCTCATTCGACGGCCGGGCATTTGGGACATGCTGTTCATTCGAGGGGATTGCCGTCCGTCCTTTTTGGCATTGGCACCCATGCGAGGCGAACTTTGCGGAATATTAGGATCTGAAGGCATATAACCGTAGTTGGTGCCAGAAGCAGCGGCGGTTGCTGCCATCGCAGCCGCCTGTATACCAGGCATCGCATAGTGCATGCCCTGTTGTGCCACTCCGTATTGTGGTCCGTACATGTTGTGTCCTTGTGGTTGAGTTTGCTGCTGTTGAGAAGCGATGACAGGTGAGGATTGTACCGTGTGCTGGGGAATGGTATTCGTTGGTGAAGCGATGTTATTAGCAGTAGTAGAGTTCGCGTAACCGGGATGTGTATTTTGGCCTTGTTGGTATTGACTGTAGTCCATTCTCCACTAAGAATCCAGTCTGATCACTAAGTGTCGAGGAAATACGTCCTCGTCGCGTTACTATTCGTTGACCGCGTGTAAGATCAATAAAGAATTGCTCAGTACTTGACGCGTTATCGAGTGGCGTTGCAACAAGAGCTTTGCAAGGGAACAGAGAGCGAATAGACGCGATCGTAAGAACTAATCGTCGACTATACAATGATGGAAACCGATGTTCGTTTGGCAGCAGTCGGGCTCGAGTGCTGGAAACCCTCTCTAATACGAAGAGACTCTGGAATGAGGCGCACTAAGGCAATTGGGTACGCGTGGGTGAGCTGGCAAGCCGAAACGAGCTGGTGCTGCTGTGGCTCAATGTTGCCTAGAGTGGCTGATGAAACTATTTACACAGCCACACGAATGAATATCGTCGAATCCAAAAGCGGAAGTAAAGGAATAGACAGGCAGCGGTGGCAGAGACGGTGCTGTCTGGTCAGTTGCTGGTTGTAAGAGATCTGTCCAACCATAGGCGTTAGCTGAGGTGTATATATGCTAAACTAGGATAAAGGAGACGGTAGAAAAACGGGGGCGGGAAGGGTAAAGGGTGCTGATGGGCTTTGTAAAGCCACTCTTGATGCGTTGGCAGCTCAGCGTCTCATGCATGACGGAATATGCAATGGACGGGCCCACATCTCCCAATCGGCCAACCCACTAGCTTTTGGCCCAGAGCAGTAAGTACTGTAAGATGATTGATGCTCGAGGCCTCAAAGCAGGAGACTTCCTTCGTTGGGCAGACTTGAATCCTGGGGGTAGAGTATGCGGCTCTTTGTTCTGGCGTTTTGCGTGGCCACTGATGTCACTGGCAGTCTTGAGGGCAAGATACTTCAACAAGACTGACGCCCGTTCGTCGTGCCGCATGACAACATGAAAAGGACTTCCAGGCTGCCTTGTCAAGAAACGCCATTTGAACTTCCAAAGGCATAGGCTTCAATCTTGTTGGCCATGATCTAGTCACTCCCGAAATTCTGGTAGCTGCGGCCCTGCGCCTCGCAACAGGGTCCTGAAGCGGGGTATTGGCCGGTCATAGGAATGATATACTCGAGTGGACGGGCGTGCATATCAAGGCTTGTGAAGTCAAGGGTATTGATACAGGCAGGGGCATCCATAATTTTCAACTTCATCATTTGTGTGACCAAGTAGACACTGGACTACTTCGATTTATAGATGGGACAGTGATTATGCGGTGGAGTGAATGGGAGAGTTTCGCCAAAGTGGCACATCTCGCTTTGGTATAAGCGAAGCTGGTAGCGCAGCAAAAAAGCCCATCATAATGGTGGGCTGTTGTTGGCACTGGTGAACCAAGCTCCAGAGTGTAACGACAGAAATTGTGATCAGGGCATTATAAAATAAAAGAAACACGTGATACATACGTTAAGGGTTGTCCCAATCAGATAAGGTGCCGGTGCGGTGACAAGCTATTAATGTTGTCAGTCTAAGTTGCGGTGCAAGTTTGCCAACTTCGTCTCTAGCTTTGGTGTTAGTGGTCACCAAAGGATAGAGAAATCCTTGTTGCACCACAAGCCATAGGCGACAGCATGAAATACGTGTTGAAGCCAACACTTGATGGGGGAAGCGCGTTTTGAAAGTGAAATGATGACAACAAGGCCGCGTTGACACGATCTGATGATGACCGTGACACGACGCGCTCACGTTTCTTGACGATGGGGTCAAGCAGAGGACGAATGCATTGATAAAATAAACGAGAACGATGCCCAAGGTTTGGAAAATGTCTGGACAATTGTGATAGAAACTGAGGTTCTACGTACCTTTTGTTACGGATATGATGCACACGCGAGCGTGTGTGCACGGTTTGACGGAATACTGAGCGCGCTCAAGGCTTACTCGTACAACCTCGTTTCCGAAGCCAGATGACAAGAGTCAAATCCGGGGTAAAATCAAGATCCGCAGACAAGAGTTGTCAGGTGACAGGTAATGCGACCAATGGAAATGGTCACTATGATGCTGTTGACGATGATAGGCTTCGAAGTCGTGAAGATGAAAAGGCGAAGCGAAGTGCGAAAGGGTGCTGATTTGCTGATGGACCGAGGTGGGTTAAATTTGAATTAGAGTGGGTGGGTTGTCTCGGGCGAGTGAAGGCTCGTCTTGTCGCGCGGCAAGTATGGTCTTGCGCTTGGAAGTGAATTGACAGACGAAACAGGGATTAAAGGGGAGACAAGGCAGTGCAAAGACAAGACTATCCGAGTTCGGCAGGAAAATTCTTGTCAGAGGATCAGGGTTGTTGACTGTCTCCGATGCAAGTCGGACGCGTCTTGGACAATACTGCCTAGATGATAATCGCGTGTATGGGGGTCTTCAGGTGAGATCACAGCGCTAGCTTCGTCAAGGATCGCCCAAGGGGAGTGCGTTTCTGAGAACGAGGCTGGGATGAGGAAATCAAAGGGGGCAATGATTTCGGGAGAATCAATGTCTTGATACCTGGATAAAGAGGTAAAAGTTGGTAAAGTCGTAGGTGGTTATCGCACAATGATGAGGCTTTTGAGGAAGAGTATTGAGCCCTGGTCCCTGAGCTGAAAAACTGCTTGGGGGCTGGAAAGTGACAAGCTGGGCTTTTTATTGCCGAATGAGCAATAGAAGCAGCTGTCCGTAGTGATAACACTGAAGTGCAGTCCTGGATGACAGAACAGTTCAGTTATTAGTCGGTCTTAGCTGATAGGGCTGAAGCCGGTAGCAATAGTCTGCCGTGCTATGTGTTGCCCTTTGGGGTGATATGGCGGGCGCTGAGCGAATAGCAGAACTTGACTGGGCTTGCGAGCACAGAGCGTTTACTGGGCTGTCTGTGGTTCGCGGGCGGGAGCGATTGCTGGTCTTGCGCGCGTGTATGATCCAATCAAGGGAATAAGTGCTTGTGAATTGTGAATGGCCAGAGAATAAAGGTAGCGACACAGGTCAATCAAATCAAATGTTTCGAGAGGCCTTGGACGATTCTGATTGCTCGTTGAGTGGACGAGAACAGGAGGATTGATTGGCCGTGAAGAAGGAGAGGACGAGGGAAAATGCGACGAGATGATTTGAGGGGCGGGATCCAGTCTGTTTTTACAACTTCCTTTGACTGGATGAATCAGCTCCGAATGTGGGTCTCCAGCCGCGTCAGGTTTTGATTGGGAGAGAGACTGTGACGCAAGGAGCGCACCTTCCTCTCTTTTTTAACCCTGGTGAGGTGTCTGTGTTTGTGCGGGGTCCACTTAGGTTGGGGGTGTCCATTGTGGTGGCTGGGTTGTTAGGGTGTGAATCCAAACACAAGCCTTAACTTTCGAGATATTTACGATGTACCTACATTCGTCTCGTCTCGTCTCGTTCAGTCCATTAGGAAATATTTACAAATAGGGAAAGTTAAGGAAGAACTAATTTTACTGAAACTTTCATGGGACTCGTCGAAATCAGTCGATATGATGACAGCTGTCATAGCATCACAGTCACGGCCTCTATTAAGCTCTTTGGTCTTCGGCATTGACCACCTCTATTCCGGTGTTCCGAGTTGTCAAACCCCAAAAAATCGAACTTCTTATCTGATGCTTCAATAAACCCCGCTGTGAGGTCGATTAAGCATTGACACAGGTAAACTTGCTTTGTTGGAGGAATGAGGAGATGGTGGGATAGGAGATGATTACAAGTATATTACTGTGCTTCCAGGTGCTGGGCTTCAAGCTTGTCTTGCTTCTTGCGTCTGTTTTCCCACTCTAGTACATCATTTCTATCATTCTTTTCTAGACCGCTTCTCTCTAGATCTTGTATCCCAATACTTGGTTACCTCTTCTCTCTCGCAACTTCGGCCCTCAGGGAGCTAACAAGATGTCGCGAGCTGTCACAGAGTGACGACAGAAATCGCGGTCGAAACACAAACCGTGTTTCTCACCCCTCTCTTTCTTGTCGGCCGATCATTGTCCGGGTTGGATGGTGTGTGGATGAGCTGGCAATCCGGCTTGGACTAAAATTAGCCCCGAGTTATTCACATCCCGACGCCCGGCATAACGGGGCACAAGGCGCTGCTCAAAGCTGCAAACTTCTTGATGAGCTTCTGTCAAATTCACAAAGAGGTAGCCTGCTTTGACTCACGAAGAGCGGTCACCAAGGTAAGGTAAGGCATTTTGCTGGTTAGTCAGTCGGTGCCCAGGCTCGTCTAATCGATACGCTATCGATATACCACCGTAACAAGGCTGTTTGTTGATGTCAGTGGGCAGGCCTCAAACATCTCCAGCTTCATCAGGTCTTCGGTACCTGGTTCTGGTTCTGGTTCTGGTTCTTTCCAAAGCTCAGACATTCAAGCAATAGCATCTCAGCGTCGCAGTAGGTATCTGGAACCCAACATATGGACACGTGACGAAATAATTTGCCTCTTCTTGGTCACATGCAATGCAGTGAAACGAAGCTGGCTGAGGGGATCATGGCAACCTTGAATTGATGTAAACGATTGGCAAATGTCGGTGTGATATTATTGGCACTCGCTCACAGCCTGAATCCAGCGATCCGGTCCTGTTCTTCACTGGTCGTGTGGGATTAGAGACATTCCCAGCCTCATTGTAACAGTTATCAACTTGACTTTGTTCTCATCCATCGGTGGTGTTTCTTTGCCTACTTGTAGTTGTTGGGAGCTCTGGAGTGTAGCTCCACAGGACAAAGATCCACGTGCAGGATCCCTTGGACGTGCTACGGTACCCGTCCCTCTCTTGTACGAGTGCAGGCCTGAATCTAAAAAGGACGCAGTCACAATACGAGGCCCTATCTGTTCAATCCTGAGAACAGAGCGATAATACCTCTGTACATTGATCCTATCTTCCCCCGTCACTGTCGTCGAGCCCTGTAGCTGCTCACCTCATCAAACACAGTCTTGAATGTCTCAAACTGGCTGCAGCAGTTCGTTCGTTCGTACGTAAGAGCTACGGAGTCGGTGAGTGGCCGGTGGATCCCCTTGGCTTGTGGATCGCGGTAATGGTAGCACGGTCGTTGCACCTCAATGGGGGGGAATATGCGGGACGTCCTGCCGTAGGCTCCGCATGTGGACGAGGAGAGGAACTCTTTGTGCTCCTGTTGCACGCGGACGCGGCGCGTACCTTCAATTGACATCCACCTTACTCAAGGGCAGGCAAGAAAGCTTTGAGACCTCTATCACCAGTAACAAAAAGACTTGGGTAACTTTATTATACACTCAGTAGGCCTTAAGACTAATCATTTTCGGCACCTTGATTTATTGTTAGAGGTATTCTTGCTTCCTGAGGCTGTTGTGTCTCTTTTTGCTTCGAGGGCCGATGTAATATCATCGTATCCTGAGACGACGACGCAAAGTTGCAACGGTATTTTGCCGAACAGGAAGTCAAATTTCGTGTCAGAGTCTCAGATATGGGGGCACAGCATTGGTGCGTTGTCGGCTGTGCTTGATCTCACGCACCGCATCGCATCGCATTAATGAAATGCACTCACTCACTACTAAAGTGCACTGTCATATTGCTTCCCAGCTATACCTACATACACTATGTACTTGTCTCGAGATCGCACGTCGCCTGCTAAAGTGGTGGGGGCGTAACCGCGTGGTGGTGGTGTGTATCCCCCCCATGTCTTGGCCTTTGCTGTTGCGGATGCATGTGCGTGGTTGGCCAGTTGTCACAGCTTGGTCTGCGGCTAGGTACCTTGAGTTGGTGTGGTTGGGTAGAGATCCATCATCTTTTCCCTTCTCTTCTCCGTCTGCAGAGCGATGCAAGGTTACAAAACTGAGGCTTCAGTATCAATTGGTTACCATGGATCGATAATCTTCCGATTGGATTTGACATCAGATTTGGGTTTTCAGATACAAACGATACCTAGCGAGCCATGACGCATGTTGGTCTTCTGCTACATGTGATTTTGGGAGTGATGGAACATCAGCGCCATGGTTTAATACCTCCCAATCATCCCATATCACAACATCAATGCATGTAGCCGCCTCATGATCTCGGACTGCATGCATGTATAACAGCCCAATATCGACAGCCATGTTTTACGGAAATACATACCTATTGAGAAGTGACTGTCTTGGGCAACAGCGCATCTATCTAGTAACAGAGCCTGATGGACTGACTGCATGCTTGGATTCGGTCTGTCCGCCTTGTATCTCGGCGTCAGTGTGGAATAGCTGTGACGGCTTAACGGCTGTGGCTATCAGCCCACTTGCTGCAAGGTCTACCTGATTACACCATCCAGTGAACACCTCGATCGAGTGATGATATCCCGTAGCTCAAAGAGCCCTGTCTTGAATAAAGGGTAAGTTATTTGTTTCCCCACGTCACGGGCGCCGCCCGCCCATGTCACATTTCCAATATCCGATTATCACCTCAGCCGTAATTATCTTGACATGATTCATGCCTCCAGGCTCCAGCGTTATCACTTATGACTGCAACTATTCTAGGTTTATCATCTCGAAACTTGGCCCGGACAGACGCGGCCGTCACATATCCGGGCATCTTTGATTCATTGTCGAGTTTTGATTCGTAGTTAATTATTTCTGGCATTTCCTCCAATACCCTTGTTGCGCGCTTAATTCACCACTCAACAAGGCTGCTCACGATATCGCGTTCCAGACGCGTCCCGGACCCTCCTCGTTAGCCTTTCTTTCGCCCTTGTCTAGTTTCAACTCATTTGGGGTGATAAGCCCAAGCCCTTGCGATGGATTCTCATTCGTCGCCGCCGTTACGTTCATCCAAGTCTTCAAAGAGCTCTCTATTCCAAGCTTGGACAAGGCGGAACGGCGATCATCATCTCGGTCCACGGCGGTTGAGTCCTTGTCTGGAAGGCATTGCTTTGTCTAAAGGCTACAGTCTGAGGAACGTGCCGCTGTCCTTATCCTCCTTTTGATGGAGCGTTTCGGCTATCGAATTGGCAAGCGTTCCCTGTCCGGTTCGATGATATATGTCTAGTGATAGTGATGTGATGCTGGTCTGTCCACTCCAACGTCGTCTATTGTGATCAAAACTTATATGTCTTTAGAACACTGAGAATTTGCCACCAGATCAACACCGTCGCTAATTCCATAATGCAGGGTATTATTGAAGTATATGATTCTAACTGTTTTCGATGCAAGGTGGTATTCCATGTTGGCTTCGGCAGTATTTACAACATGTTGGAGTGTCACCATGGTCTTAAAAACCGTACAAACTTAGCTAAGTTGATATGGTTGATCTATCCTGCTCACGTGAACCACAGTCATCATGCACCAGTAATATACAGAAAATAATAATAATTATTGTATGTTTTGTCGACTGATGACTATGATATAAGGCACTGTCGAGTGCACAGGAGAGCCATGTTTGGTCGTGTGGCAACTATAGGGTAGTACACACCGGAAGACTCCTGGCCCCTCCCCGAACCTGATATCAACACGAACTGTAATCAAACAGTTGTCGTTGACTAAGAAATGAGTGATTGCAAATGTCGTTGGAGCAGCCACCTTGGAACTGTATAATGCTGCTGGGTACGTAGAGCTGTATGCGTGATGTCATTGACAGTACCAAATGTGATGCGCTGTGAGTGGTAAGCCAACTCAATAGACGCGAGAATGAGTTGAATCGTCCACTGCCACCACCGCTAAGAGTTTCCATACTCGCGCCGAGTTATGACGGTCAACCCCCAGGACAGCTATGACCAGCAATGGCTTCAACAAAATAGTATTATCTTAGCCAGAAATGTACCATTCGCAACAGAGTCTCGTGTAATGACACGCCATCTTGAAGTTCGCAGGTGACATCAAAGATCTTCAAAAGCAAATGAGATGTGAGAACGTTTACACAGCCACAGCCACGGGAGGATCCTTAACCTTTACCCAGCAGCTGAAACCCGTGATATCCAAGGACTGCGCTCGAAACTTTGCACCTCCTTATGCCGCCACCTTTCCTATCACTGGACAAGTGAAACGACCAGCTCCTTCACCAGGCTTGCGTCGCAATATATCTGAATCAGAGACAGAAGGCTCAGACCAAACGTGTGGATATGAGCTTTGCGTATTAGCTGAGGTTTGCACAGGTGAGGGGTTAGCGGGGGTAAAATTATGACAATACATCTACTACATGAAATGGAATGGTACTGACACTGAGCAACTTACTCTGCTGGCCAAACGGGAGTTCAAAAAACTGTGGCTGTAAAAGAATTGGGACGCATGATGGTCATGGAAGCGATGGCAATGTTGTTGAAAGAGTCTGAAACCGTGGCTCGTTGACCAGGAAGCCCATCTCACAGGCAAAGTATCGTACCAGAAGCAAAACACTGACAAGAAGGTCTCTTCAAAGGTAGTCTGCGCCCTTTTATTCATGTCAAATCGATATGTGACAAGATCGAGGAAGGATTTTGCTAAGAGGTTGATATTTGTGCGGATCGAGATGATTAGACGAGCAGGCCATGATGATAATAGGGGAAGTGTCAAAGTCAAAAGAACTTGGGTGATTGAGATATGAATCCCTATGAGTACTGTAGTGATATATTTGGATCACGAGATGCTCTCAAGGTGTTTGAGACAACGCCTACAGGACACTGCACCCAGATTTATAGAGATAGGCTAATCTAGTCGAGCACTTGCTCTGCCATGGAGACTAGTAGACTTGATGTTAGCCAATATGACATGATAAATGATCTTAGGATATTACTTACCAGCGCTACCAGTATTATCAGGCTCCACGTACGCCTTGCTGACCTTGCCATCCTCCACCTTGAGGGCATATCGCTTTCCTCGCATACCACCAAAGACCTCGTACGCCTCGAAGCCAAGGTCCAGGGCCTTAGTGAACTCACCAGTAGGGTCACCAAGGAATCGGATCTGAGAGAAGTTAGAGGAATAAACTGGAACCTTGAACCAGGGGAGTTTTGTGTTAAAATGTTTACTCACACCGGTCTGCTTGGCGGGGTCGAGCTGCTCGCTCCAAGCCTTCATGCTGCAATACAGTCAGAAACATGCCAGATTATTATCATATACGACGATTCATGATTGTTGAACTTACACAAACGGATCGTTGACAGATACAACAAAGACCTGGCCAGCCTGTTTGAGCTTGGGGTGGTTGATGTAAGAGGGGATGTGCTTGCTGGAGCACGTTCCGGAGAAGGCAGCAGGAACGCCGACGATGTATCCATTGGCTGACTTGAACTCCTCCGCGAGATTGACTTTGTTACCGGGCGAGTCCTCCAGAAGGACGTCAAGGTTAGGAATCTCTTGGCCCACGCGGACAAAAGCACGAGGGGTTGAGTGGAAGCCCCGCGCAGCCAAAGCAGGCCTGGCGAGGGCAATACGTCGGATAGGAGCTCTGAAGGACATTGCAGAAGGTTGTTAAGATAAATTGTGAAGCGTATATGCTATTTCTAACAGGTACGCGTGGTCAATTGCTTCTTGGGTTGCCAATCGATTCGCGGTGGAGGTTGGAGCTTGGGACAGCTGCGGCACAAATGACATCACGTTGAGCTCCTTAGCGCAGTGGAGCTCGTTTGTTGAAAGCTCTTGTACTGGCCACTTGCGTGTGCTATTTTGCACGGGAAGATCATGATCGTGTTACACTAGCAAAATGGATTAATAATAATAATAATGCTTGTTGTACCTCTTCACTCTTCGGCAATTGGTTATTACTGTTTGCCTCGGGACTATAAGCTGCGCATATCCGCAGGTGGCCTCGCTGGCGAATGACCTCTATTGATGTGTTAATTCAGGTACCTAAGCTGAAAGGAAGGTATCAAAATCTTCTGCTAGAAAGGATTAGACCGTAGAAAGGGAAGACATGTAACCGGTAGAACAATACCTATATAGAGTCTTCTTAATACCATTTAAAATAACTTGTTGTTAAGGAGTGTCTGGTGAATAGTGATGAAGAGATCATCCTATTGGCCATTGCAAGGGTCCCAATTGTTGTTTTCTAGTAAAAATAGGTAGGATGATGAAGGAATATGCAGCTGCTCAAACGGCGCTGCTATATACCTGCAGTGCCTTCCGTTATTGAAATGCATCAGTTTGCCCACACCTCCTGCTTGTATTCGCTATTGCTGCCCACGGCGGAGGAGAAAAGCTCAACCCCTGCCCACAGAGAGATTTCTAAATGCTCACAATTCAAGAGTGAATACGTATATCAACGTGCGAGTATTTCTCGGGCGAGTTTATTTGCGTCTCATCGTCACTTGAAACTACGAACTTTTCTACTACAGGCGGTTGAGCTTCCTCGAACGATTTCTTCGAAAGGCCATACAACGATATCTGATTGAGAAGCGAGAGAAGCCCAGGATAACAGGATGGCTTGATTTTACCGACCATATCAATCATACCTAAGAAAGGCATGTATTCGACATTTGACGAACACGATACTCTGGGGGACCTCCCGCTTCAGCGACCAAATTTACTCAACAGGCCACAAGTGAAAACCTGCCACACATCATGCTCGAAACTTGGCTTACACAGACTCTAACTTGGCGCCATCACTGTCAAGTGGTTTACATTGTCGACTTCAGGGTTCATTCCCAACGTGCGCGAGGAGACCCCTCCTACACCAGTCGAGCGAACAGAACCCGCGATCACATAGAAAGTGGCTTATTCGTACAGACACACGCGAAAAGGATGTGCGGTCACCTTTACATGCCTCGAAAACACACGATTTACGAGTATTATGTGCTTCAGAGTCAGAGACTCGACAACATTAGGCAGCACGAGTATTTCGAGTCCGATGCCGCCATCGGGTTCATATTCAAGAAGGATTACCAAAACTCCTTCTACCAGATTCTTCGGGAGATACAGTTACCGGACAAGAGAAACCCTGAGGACTCGGCTCTTTATCGACGCCATGACATCAACGTCCAATCTTTCCCCCCTGAGAACTCGACGGACTAGGTAACGGCTGTGCTTATAGTGATTGGAACAAGGAAGTTGTTGATGGAATATGTGCCTAATGACTGGTACATAGATGACACAGGAGTGTTCCAGGAACATGGTCGACATGAAACTGGTGTTCAAGATACTATTGTTTGCAAGGAGTCAACCTTGGTTGGGATCTTGTCGTGGAGCTGAGATACCAAGAGGCTATATCTCGGAGCGCTTTGCATGATATAACGTCAATGCAGTTATAGAAAAGATGTCATCGGGGGAATCTGAAACAATATTTCCTATGCAATTGAACAGTGTGGTGCATGATATATGTTACATATGAGTATCTAACAATCCGGAAACGCCGTCCGAGTGATGGAGCGTTTGACCAGATCCGCTATTCAGTACCACAACACTACCGCATGAATGTTGAAGTGAACTTGCGTTTTACGCTTGTATGGAGCGTCGGAACTTTCGTTGAAGACTGTTGATAGCTATTGCTTTGCTATCGAACAATATCAACACGTTCAACTGCGTGCGGGATATCAAGGTCTGGAGAACCTGCAGTCGTGGCTACACTGATCATACTACCATCCTGGGAGTAGGGACTCAACAACATAGGACGATAAATATAGTACGTCTTGACTCACAGGCCACAGTTTCAATAATGATTGTTTAAAGACCTGACACCGGAATCAACCGAGCCTGTACATGGGTATTTGCATAAAGGTCACGTACGTTACACTCATGTGTACTTTTTATTCACAATGGAGGCAGCTAGGCTCGTCCCGTTGGCAGAAGGGTGTTCGTTTCAGAATTAATCAAGGGTTGACAGGCCCATCCGGAACCCCGGATGGAGAGGCAACACGAAGATGGAGGAAACACATCACCTGTGCGCATTCGATCGTGATGAGATGCTTGCTATGCAAGGGATCTCCTTGCGTCTCGGTGCGCTGGGGGCTACCTAAGTATGTATTGTCTCTGGGTAGAAACAGAAACAACATTTTGTATGTATGCTGGCAGTCTACGCCACATGTCAGACACAAGCATCTTTAGGGCGAACAGAGAGTCCAGTACTTCGTGTCTGAATTAGCTTCTTGTAACCAGCATGAAAGGTTGGAGAGCACAGGTACATGGTGACAGCACGTGGGGGTTAGCCCTCAGATCAAGCCTCAAGGTGTACTGTGGATAGACAACTCGTATCCTGATCCTGACCTGAGGTAGGCATTGACGTGAGTTGAGATCAGAATTCCTACGTATCTCAACATGGGACATGGTCGTTGAGAGTGGAGTTATCTCGATGTTAGCTCTACAAGTCTTCAACGCTGTTTCTTGGCCCATGTCTAAGCCGCAACCTCTTGCTTGGCAATGTATCCTCATATACAGTTACAAGGCAAGAAGGAATTAGTCGATGCAGTGTACCACCCGCTTTGACGTCCGCTTTCATTTCCTAAAAGTTCTAGGATCACGCAGGCTGAACTATCAGCTGAAGATGCAAGGTTCCAACTACTCCTGCATGTAAGTGCAGAACCGTTCAACGGTTGGGTTCGGCTTTCTGTCTTTCCATTCAGTCCCTTGCCTCAAGTGATATTTGAGAAGTGGCTGTCAAGACAGGTGGCTCCTAGCCTTGAACCAGCTGTTGATTGGTGATTGGTAGAAACGATGATAGTAGACCAGCCATCAGCATCTAGAGTGAAGGCTGGCGTTGTCTAGACCTCAAATCAGCTTAGCCATTGGAGAAACCGCCTTGTAACAATGTCATCTACACAATCCTGTATCAATCAAAGCCGTTGTCATTGAATGAAAGGGAAAGGTAATGGCGTGGGAAGACAAGAATGTGGAGCGATAACCTGCGCATTTGCGAAAACTACTTGCTGTTGTATTCAGCCATGTCTCGCAGATAGTCAACGTTAGCAATTCCTCGATAGACGAGAACCACAAATGGATATGAGAAGGATGTGATTCTGACGATCGCCGACCAGCTCGGTGCATCAGAAGTCTTCTTGCGGACTGCCAAGCGTCAAGTTTGCGTGACAAGATGCCGTTTTAACTGGGCCTGCTACTGTGATAATACCCAAGACGGTGATCTTCGAAACTTTGAAGCCGTTTTTTATCGTTGCATTCGCAGGTTACTCTGCCGGCGATCGACAATGCCCCAAACCGCACCGCAGTCGTTGCGCGCACGACAGGACAGGGAGCCAAGAACCAGGTACAGTACATAAGGTACCGTTAGACTCGGGATACATTCAGTTACTGACAGGGGGAGCTCGCATGGCAGTCAAGGGGACCTGGAAAGATGAGGCACAGCACGCCAGAGACATGGGTCTGAGTGAAGAGAGACAATGTGATGTGAGACATGCCACGGTTGGAATGTGTGTATAGGCGCTAACACGACGATGATAGTTGATAGACCAGTGAAAATGCAGCTCTGAACCCCTATCGTTGAAGAATAGATACCATCATTTGCGAGGAAGCCCTTTTTCCTGGATAAAAAACGGGCTGACTAGTACAATGAAGATTGTCAATCAAATGCAGGGCCCTACAGTAGATGGAGTTGCTTTTGTTTTCTTTATTTCTCCACGACCAGTGGATTCACTCGCTCGCTAGAGCGTCATGACCTCACTCAGTCACCTGGGCCTGTTTAGTGGTGCATCGTAAAGAGAGAAAATGGCGGGCATGTTTAGCTATTTGAAGCAATCTGCGAATGGCCCGGCGACAAGATTACGACATTACAGCAATGCAAGTGAAGTTCAATCTTCATCACCATCACAATAACATCGATAACCAACACATTGAACCACCGCCAATTCTTTCCCCTCCATTATTACCCATCTCACGCACGCGGGCATCCACAGCGAGCCGTCCATGAGTGCCCGCATAAGCAGGTGCAGGCACTTTAGTAGAGCCTTGTGCCCTGTGTCTAGCCCGAAGCGGGTGATGGTCCAATCTACCCCTGACTTGGCACGCAAGGATGGGTCCCTTGTCTCTTGTTGCCCCTCAACAAGCGTTGATTGACAGAAAACTTGTGCAGACCTCGTGATGGAGAGCAGAAAAAGATAAATCCCAAGGGACGAAGGCACCGTATTTCGCAAAGATAAGGGTAGATGAATGTTATTATATCGTACGCCAAAGAATACGCCTCTGACTATGACATATCTCCGCCTCCCATGTACCTTGACCAATTCTAGTAGTACAAAGATACATATTGAATACAAAGAAGCCCAAGTTCTTTTCCTGGCATCTTTTTCCTTCCCTTGTCAGGCACGAGGGCTATTTTGGCGCCCCAAGCCCAGACCATCCACCACTGAGCACCTGTGGCAACCCTCCACTGCCCCTGTCTCCTGTCGTGTCGTTTTGGATGTTGGATGTGCTCTATTAACTTCTGTTGCAGGTCGGTATAACCGTTGGTGACTTGGCTTCAGCTTGGGCACCTAACAAGTCACAGCTTCTCGGCTTTTACTCATAGTGCTGTATCATTGAGGACGGATCCTTCAGCTGACCGAGTTCTCAAACAACCGAAGTTTGCTCAGAGTCTTTTTTTTTTTTTTTTTTTTTTTTTTTTTTACCGTACTCATCCTTGTATTTGGTCGTATCTATAATCCTTACCAACTATGAACCAGGATCCTCCCACTCACAGCCCAACCATCCAAACTACTTGCTGCATGTGTGTTTATCTGCACTTGTTAAAGAGCTCTTGAGATCATCCCCTCTGATCGACCATGAGTCTGGCGGTCTGACGACCGGAGGATGATCAATCGCTTGTCCAAGTAACCAAGCTGCCACCAAGTCTTCTTTTTCTCAGAAGAAACACGAGAGGTTTGCACTACCAAATCAGACTACAAGCCTCTGTCAAAGAAACCCCGCCAACGCCGCAATTGCAACGCCTCCGTTCCACATGATTTCAAGAGGCGACTGGCTGTTCAGATTATTTCTTATAGAAGCAACAAGCAATTGAATTGAGCCTCGAGTCTTTTGTATTGAAAGAAGATAAGTACTGTACTCCGTACAGTTGACCTTGATCGGAACCAGGGGGTCATTGCAGAGCCCTTTGTTTCTCGCCCGCAAAATCCCAGGGTCTCATTAATGAATGTTAGGGTTTTTACTATGTAGTTACCCAGGGCCAACAACGTCAGCAGTCCGGGTTGTTGCTGATCGTCATTGCACCTGTGGGTTCCCGTTGCAAGAGCCCGCTCTAAAAACGATCATGTTTTTGGGCGGCGTCACTCCACTCTGTCTCCCGTGAGTTTCGCCTCTGCCCCTGATCCCAGCAGGTATGGAACCGCTTTCAGGGCTTGGCCTTCTTCTGTTTCTTATCTATCTTACATATTTACGTAGTATGGCGGCTGGTGGTATGCATGGCAAGCGTGTTTTGGTGAAGGGCTACTGCGGGTGATTTTGTTAATAGCTAATGCTTGATGATTGACCGTTGAACTGTGTCCCGTCCGTTGTGTTAAATTTAGGTTTTGATGGAAGGTAAGGTATTTGCAAAATACAGTAAGCCTTCAGGTTGAGCTAGCTTCTAAGCTCTACACCAACTCTGTAAGGTAGGTACCTAATACTCATTCACCAGCCTAGCCAACCTGAAGGTGGTAGACCGGCCACGTTATTCCATTCCCATCCATAACGTCCGTCACCCAAAGACTGGCCACCCCCACAGACCGGCCACCCCGACCAAAACACCAAGAACCGGATATCATGATCAATTAACTAATTATCTCAACACCACATTTTTTATATTAAATAAAAATTTAGTCAGTGAATATTTAGATGAAACTGAGTACAAAGGTCCTCAAGTTTTAATTTCTTAACCCTATTTGCCGTTCTTT